GAAAACGTTAGTTTCTGGCCCGAGAACAACGGTTTTCAAGAAACGTTAGTTTCAAGAAACGTTAGTTTCTGCCCGCAAAACAAACGTTTCCAGAAAACGTTAGTTTTTGGCTCCAAAACAAACGTTTCCGGAAAACGTTTGTTTCCGCCCATAAAACAAACTTGTCCAAAGTTTCTGAGTTAGTTTGTTTCCCCCCTCCCCCCCCCCGGGGGACCCTCCCTCCCTCCACTCTCGGCAGGTTTCGAAACAAACGTTTCAAACAAACGTTTCAGACAAACGTTTCTAGCGCGGAAACAAACTTGGCAGCCTAAAGTTAGTTTCTCCTTTCCAAACAAACCTTTTTGCCTCCGCCGTTTGTCTGATGGACATGGCTTTCAATTCGCTTGCAAAATGGGCCTGGATGTCCAGCACCTGCTCATGGGCAAAGATGTCACAAGAGGCAGTCGCATAGGAAAACTAGAGCCATACAAGGTATCCGTGACTGTATTTTGTGCGAATGGCGTTTTCGTTCCATGAGAGGTAGAACTCGAAGTTGTCTTTGGCTTGGCTTTGGATTCCATGGCTGCTTTGAGGAATTTTTTTCGCAATGCATTTTCCCTCAGTGTTTTTTGAACACGCATTTCGTTCTTTTTTCTTCTCTCGCGGTGGACGATACCCACCACCACCACAATTTCAGCCCGCGGAGACTGTAACTTTTGAGGTATCATTGAACTGCCTGTTTGGGTGCCAGCCCTAAGAAAACCTCAGAACAATAATATTGCTGAGCTCTCCTGTAGTGTTCATGAGACCTTGTGTTTGCATTACGATCCTTTGCCTTGGCCTGCTGTAATATCCAACTAGCAAAGGCTGTCTTATCCTGCTTACTGGCATCTTTGGGCTGGTCAAGGACAAGGATGCGTTTCTGGCGTTCTCCTGTAGCTTTTCTGTAGCAAATGAGCATTGATACGTGCATGGGAATGGATGTCATGCGTGTTGTCCTGCACCTGCTGCTGCACGTCATGCAAATGCTTGTTTGTCGCATCCTGCTCCTCATGCTGGCGCTTCATCTTCCTCATTTCACTTTTTGATGATCTCAACTGTGATGTCCTCTGTCTCCGTGTCTTATGTTCCTTATCTGAGGTACTACATGACTGTGAGCTGGACTTCCGGTGCTTTTGGCTCTGAGATGGCGGTATGTTCAATGGGGTCCTCCAAGCGTTTGGTGGTGAGGGCCATAGATGGCATCTCGCGTTGGGATGCCTGCGTGATTTCGGACTTGTCGGACGCAGTGGATTTGGAGGGTTCTGAGCTTTCCTCCTCAGACTCACTGAATCTAGTTCGCTTTGAGACTGTTACGGCTTGGGGAGCCTCCTCTGCTACAATAATTGCAGCATCTGTTGCCAGCGACGGCTCTGACTCCTTTGTTTGTGTATCGTCGACCAAAAATCCCAGGCATTTGTGTCCTGTCTTCCTTTCTTCCCTTGCGTTCTTTTCTGCTGCTGCTTTAGCATCTTTCTGCACTGTTTCTTCTTGCTTGTTTCAACCATCTTTTGGAGCTCTACGTTTTCTCATGTCCCTTGTTCATGGCAAGTCAAGCTGTGGAAAATTCCCCTCCCTGTACTGCGACCTTCGAGCCTATTTAGGCAAGCTTGCGGAAGGCAAAGTGCATGTTTGAAACTGCACGTGTTCAGCAAAAGCACAGATTTTGTTCGCGGTTGTCGCCTCAGGCTCGGGATTTTTTTGGAAACCTGCTGCACCCCTGTGCCAAGCTACAAAACATGCTTGATTTCGCATATAATTTCAAGTTGGATCATTGAGCTTTTTCGCTGGGGCTGCGTCGTTGCGTGACGTGCATGTTTATGGATTGCATTTGATTTGAACCTGCTACAGCTTTCAGGTTCGACAAAGTGAGAAAGTAGTGTCGAAGGGGTGTGAGCTTCCAATATTCTAAGTTGACATTTGTTGGTGACCTACGGCAATTATTGTTTGCCAAGATGTGCACGTTTTTGAGAAAATTTCATGTATTGCGCTCATGACATCGGCTGACCTGCCGGGGAAAGATTTCGCGCAGCCTTGGAATGGCAATCAGAATGATTTTGCTAGTCTGCTAGTTGGAAAGTGTTTCACATGTCTTCATTCAGCATGCCCCTCTTATGTTGTGTCATGCTTTCTTAAGATTTTGGATGGCAACCTGCGCGAGGCCGTGTCCTCACGAAGCTGCTTGGCGCGATGCCTGGCTTCAAAGACAAAAGCCGCGGTCAGTCACCCACTGCTCGCAGTTCGGTGATTCATCAAAAAACCTGGCATTCACGCTGGTCTTGCAGCAGGCGTTGCTCCTTGCGCGAGACCTGGCTCAGTGCGTCTGCTCGGCTTCAGTTGCTTTGTGCTGTGCAGTGAAACAATATGCTGTCCCGGACCTTCGAAGCAACAATGTATGCATGTGGCTTCCACTACGCTCCTGGCATTACATGCAGACTGCGCGAATTTATGAAAACTTCGATGACAAGCCAGAAGCTTGCTGGTGTCGTTGGGAAAGATGGGGTGATTTGGCTGAAGACGAGGTGCTGGGAGTAGCTGCAACCCAAACTTGTTGCCATGGACTCTCAAATTGTTTTGTTGCCGTAAACGATTTGGGGTTGACAGTCTCTTTTGGTTTTGGCAAATCACAAGAGAGAGTCATTGCACATAGATGCTGTTAAGAGGTGCGCAGAGTGGTTGAGCCTGGTCGACTTCAAATTCAACTGACTCGTGCTCATTCTGTAACCGGTGCTCACTTCGGGCGTGGTGCACGGCAGAATTTTGCGGAATGGCAGCCATCTTTGTTGTCAGTCCGTCTACGACTTGATCCGCCAAGCGCACGAAGCTTCTCTGGCGGAGCTGTGGGTTATGTAATCCTCGGTGACAGGACTCCGGCATGGGAATGCGGTTCAAGATTTGGTCATGAGGCGGTTTTCATGTTTGCATCTGCAGAGTCAGCAGAGGAGTTTAGTCTGCAATGGTGCGTTGGCGAGAACATTGCCATGTGCACCACTTTGGCTGCGCATTGCTATGCTACCTGGTTGCGTGTAGCCATGTGTTTTGATTGGACAGCCCGACGGATATCTATCAAGCTCAATGGCCATTCCGTGGGTGAGATTCCTTTCCGCATGCCCGCATGTGAGAAAGCAGGGCACATCACTCTGCTCAATGTGGGTGGCCCCGCGACAGCCAGCTGGAGCGAGGTGATACTTGCATAACTTGCACAAGTATAGAGTGCAGGAAAAAGGAGGTGTCTTCAAATGAGCACCCTGTACATACAATCTCAGAGCCGTGTGGAAGCCATGCGCCCAAGCAAAGTAATAGAGATCAGTGCACTCTGGAGGGAAGACCTCGTTGAGCCAGCCAATGAGGTTTTTGCAAATGCCCACAAGATTCAGTTGAAAGTTCGAATCACATGGTGGTAGATTGTGAAAGTGCCTCCCTCCTTGGCAGAGCTTTTCTGATTCTTGAGTACTGGTAACGCTGCGAACGAGGAGCATGGCAATGAAATTTGGATCAAGGGTCGTCATGCTGCGACTACTCCCGGGTCCGACAATCAACGAAGCCAGCGAGGCTGGCCGATGCTTCTCGCAAGATTCTGCATGCCATTTCTTGCATTTGTATGCCGGCCAAGGTCAGCATATGAGAAGCTGGCTGCTTCCTTTCATAGTGGCAGAGCTGCAGAAGACCTTGATAGTACTTCGCGCTGCATCCACTGTGGCTGAGGTCGCTGGAGCAGGTGCTGCAAGCTCACTACCAAGATGGTCTTTTTTCGACTGGGTCCTTAAGACTTTTCAGTTTGTCTCTTTGAGGCTTCCTGAGATCCAGCCATGATGAGCGCGCCATTGCTTCGCTGATAGCTCATCACAGCGTCTACTTGGGCCACCCTTCATGCGATTCAGCGATTCAGGTTGGTAGCAGCAGTCCAGGCAGACTTGCAATCTGACGCGTGGATCTTGGCTTCCATCTAGATTTTTGCCACGTTTTGCCCTGTAAATGGATGCTGAGTCAGGTGCTTGCCCGAGATGGCTTTCGAGTGGGCAGGCAGGGTCCAAGTTCCAAGTTAGATGATCCGATTCACTGCAAAAAACCGCTAGGTCAGCTGGCCCCGGCCCTGTGTTGAGCTAGTTGCCCAGTAAATGTGGAAATTGGGGCACAGCCCCGCCATCTCAATATAGACGGAAGGTGTATAAGACCATCAAGAATGTTTAAGAATCTCAGGCCCCGTTGATGGAGCCTTGCCGGTCTCCCTCGCTCTGGCTCCAGCGCCGAGCCCAGCCCCTGCCCCGGGCCCCGCTCCGGGCCCTGCACCTGGACCAGCACCAGCGATCGTGGAAGCTCGGCTGCAGCCCAGCTTAGCCAGCTTAGCATGCTCAGTAAATCTCGGCAGGCGGAGCTGAAAGTGATGTTGCAGAATTTTGCAGGTTGCAGCTTCTCCTACTGTGGGCAGCATCCCCCTGAACGTGGACTCGATGGGCCCCCCTACCGTGTCCACACTGAGCCCATCTCAGATTCTCCGTCCTTCACCCCATGATCTACGGCAATGTTGAGGTCGACTTCAAAAAGACTGTTTGCGGTGTCGACTACTACATGTGCACGACCCAGAAATCTAAGGCAAGCATTTGAGTGTATAAAGAGATGTATGCACAGATATGTCGATTTAACTTTTTCTTACTCTTGTATGAATATATACATATATGTAGACACGTATCTGGGTGCCTGGTTGTGTGTGAGTCTGTTTGAGCGCCGCGAGGCACTAGATGGTGAACTGGCTGAATTAAAGATGGCTTCAACTGGTGGATGATCAGAAATCAGTGCTGCCGAGGCTTGCTGGCAAAGCTGAGCTGCAAAAGTCATTCGAGCACAAACTGAAGCAGGCGATCATAGCTGAGGCAGGTATGCCGCATGCCGCATGATCCAAGAATTCACAATTTCCTGCATACAGATCCACAAGTCATCAGGTTGGACAAAAGTTGCAGGCCTGTCCTCGGTTTTATGTGGCATGACCAGCCGGAGGCTTTGGCTTGATATTTCTCACAGGAGCAGGACATTGTCGTGGAGATTGGACCAGCTCCTGGAGCCGTTCTCACGCAGGTTGCAGCCTCAAGCTGCAAAACTATTGCTATCCACTTCGCGCGGTCAGCCCTCCGTGTAGCAAACAGCACTGATATGGGCTTGCACATGTAGGAGAAACATAAAAGGAAGAGTCCTTTGTATTCCATGTTGCTTGCTGAGATGTGTTACATTTGAGCTTGTTGTGTCGAAATTCACGTTATGGTCACTTCTGCGTTTGAAAGAAAGTCGCTGGATGACGTCGGTCTTAAGTCCGATGTCTGTATTTTGGTGACAGGGGAACACTGCCCGCCTTCCAGCTTTCATCGAAGGAATGCCTCCGGCAGAAAGGACCGAAAAGAGACACAAGCAAGGCTTGCAAAGCTCTACGCTGTGAGTCAGAGCTAAATTAAGGAATGGAAAACATTGTTGAAATTGTGGATGCAGCGACAATGGACACTATGATACAAGATAAGCAACAAGAAGAAAGGAACATACAACAGCACTTCTTCCTCACATTATTTTTAGTCTATATAGGGGTTGCAAATGCCTCGCAAGGCTTCCGCCGAAGCAACATTTCCCAGTTCAGGGTTACGGTCTTTGGGGCATTGTTTTATTAGGGGTCGCTGACCCCAGACCTCATCAGAGAATGTTGACAGTGGGGCTTACTTAGGTGGCTTTGATTTTGGGATTATGTTTTGGATCTTGGTTTGGGTTTTCGTGAAATGCTTTGGCTTTGGGTTGTGTTATGGATTATTGTGTAGACTGTTGGGAGTGCTTTATGTATTGTGGGGTTGGAAGGGTATTGAGTAGGCGGTTTGAGAAATGTGGTAAAAGCGTGCAGCGGGGATAGGATGTGAGGTCTGGGGCCAGCTTTATGCTTGCTATGATTCCCCCTTTGCCCTCTGGTTCTTAGCTATGTTTGGCTAAGTGCATCATCACGGTGCCCAACGAGCTGAATGAGCTGGCCGTGAGGCAACAACGGGGAGTTCTCGCATTTGGAAACGTGGGCGGAGCACGGCACACGTTGACTGAGGCAAAAATTGGACCAAGCCACAATGGAGACAAACATGGCCCTGGCACTTGGCACTTGTCAGCATTGCTCAGTGGCACTCTGTTGAATGTGAAGCCGAAGGCCGCCGCCCTCAACGGCATTACCGGTATTGCGGAAGTCAGCACCGGCCAGCAGCCTATTTGGAGCTTTGCCCGGGCTACCAAGCAGTGATTCACTGCACGCTTCATGCATCGCAGTATCAGGTTCTGCAACGGTGCACTCCAAGCCTTCAGAGTGTGAGGAGTGCGTGTCTTTTGAAACGTTGCTCATCCAGTTTTCGACAACACATGCCTACGCTCCAATGGCAGGATGCGGCTTCAGTGTGATCCAGCCTGTGCTGTTTTCCGTCAGACGTTGCATGCCCTTTGCAATTATAGACACGACTGCGAGTGCTTGCCTGTATTGACTCGGCTTCAGCGTTGCTGCAATGAAATTTGAAGCCCAGCTGGTATGTGTCTTTCAAGCACCCTTCGTAAGATGTGATTGAGCCGTATGTGTAGGTTTCCCAAATGTTTGCACTTTGGGCTGACGACATAGACATTCGGCGAAAAACAAACCGCACACCAAAATGGACAATCTTCAAGTCTTCAGATGTCAAACACTCCACAGCCTTGCGCAGAGTGCAGTCATGCAGCGCCCGTGGTGCACGTGAGCGACATCTTGCCATGGGTAGAGCGGGGTCCTTGGCCTGCGAAGTTGAGACGCTACTTTGCCAAGGTTCTAAAGTGAAGATGACAGCAGTGCCTGCTACTTTATCGGTTATGGTGTGAACAGAGGAACCCATGGCTAAGCCAAGGGAGCCTGAGTAGGACCTGTGAGATATAAAGGAAGTGGAAGGGACGCATACGGTGTGCTGAGTTGCTGACTCTTTAGACATTCTGCACCCACATGCATGGACTGGAGCTTGTATCCTGAAGTCATTTACTGTGTGATGGCAATTTGATGTTGACCTCTCTTGCGATGAGGCTTCGTCAGAAGGCAGCGACGTGAAGCCGAAGGCCCGGCTTTCCATAGACGTCTCCGCATGGACGTTTGAGCACTGCGCAGGAAAAGAGAAAGGAAGCTCAGACACTGAAGGATAAGGAGAAGAAGGAAAAAAAGGACTTGCTGCATTGGTTGCTGCATGGTACGTATGCTCGCTTCAGAGAGCGCAAGAGCAGATTACAGAAAGACGACAGACAGTAGAAATTCAAAGAAGGACGTTGAAAAAGATAAGAAGGACAAGCAGAGGAAGGAGAAAGATCGGGAAAAGGAGAAAGGAAAGGTCAAAGCCAAACCAAAGGGTGATGCACAGGATGGCAACTTGCAAGCCAAGGATAAGGCACGCAAGGAAGAGGACAGTGATGATGATATCGAGAAAGAAAAAGAAAAGGATAAGCTGGCCTTCCTTGCTGCCATCAAGGGCCTGAGGGAAAAAGACAAGAAGGCCGCATGGCTTCGGACAACGCATGATGTCCATGCTCCCACATGCTCCCACGCAGTGCCTGTACAAGGTTGAGAAGAAGAAGGTGCAGCCGCTGGCCTTCAGTGGAGTTCAGGCTCTCAAGGTTGCTTGGCACTTGCAGCTCATAATGAGGTCTGAGTCAAGGAAGAAAGCCAAGAAGCGCAGCTCCAGCGCAAGCCCCGCGGAGCGCAAGGACTTTGCACGGAATACAATCAGCTTTCGAACACAACCCCCAAAAAGTCTTTTGCAAAACGCGTTAAGTGAGGTGGCTATGAGAACTGCAGGCGGATGACTGTTTGGCGAGCATTCATAGTGAGTGAAAAGCTTGCGCAGTTTACGTTGGATTCACGTTGCATGTTCTGTTGGTACTCTGAATTGAAACCACGGCCTTACTTGATCAGATTGGAGTCTGACAAGCTTGCAAGAATCTGCATATTTCTTGTTGTGCACCAAGTGCCAGGGCTTTGAGCTGTTGCATCCTTCTCCAGGAGCGCCGAGAGAAGCGACGAGATCGGCGGCCGCAGGAGCGCAGCCGGTCTTGGCCTCAGGAATCCAAAGCAGGAATATGTACTCTCTTCTAAGATATTTTAGAAACAAGCAGGGCGCCACCGAGGACTCTAAGACTTTAAGTTCAGCAGCACGGGGTGTGCGCATGAAGAATAGCACTGAGATGGAAGCAGGGAGGTTGGGCTGTGCTTAAATCGGCGGAGTCTTCGCAACAGCTACTGTCAAACCGGGCTGTTGATGAGCAATTCGTGCGGGCACACCAGCTGACTGCAAACAGGACAGCGATAGAAAAGGATGTAGAGATGTTGCAAAAGTAGACAAGGAGTGATGAGGAGTGTGAAGAGTCCGCGACAGAATGGCAGTCAGTCTGTTTTGAAAGGAAGCAGGGCATGCCTGTCCTAGATCAGCTGCAAGAGGCAATGGCCAGTGGAATCGGTGACAACTCCTACAGTTTCCAGATTCTAGATATCGCTTCATTTGAGACACCATGAAGCCTGCTCATGTTGCATTGGCTTGCAAGTCTCACGCGGACAACAACTTCCTAGGTCCCAGGATGACGAATCTTCTGGTCAACGTGCCAGTTTTGCAGCAGCTTCAGCTAGTTGGAATCCGTGCTTGTCGCAGCCAGGATCGGACTCCCCGGAGAAGCCCAAAAAAGAGACCGCACTAGTCACCAGCTCTGGTTTCGGTGCCCCCCTGCCACTGGTAACGAGCATCGTCCCAGCTGCAGTGGGCGCCAGTGACGTCATGACCCCAGAGTTTGTGTTCATGAATGCGCAGAGACCTGCCTGCATATGACCTCATGCACCTCAGGTCATAGGTGTCTTCTGTCGCTCTGCGGGTGCCGATCAAAATTCTGAGCAAGCTCTGAGAGCCTTGTCTGTGCCCCAGTCAGTTCCAGTGTAGAAGTCCTATGAGCTGGTTTTCTGCTTGAGGCCAGCTCACCTGCAGCAAGCTGTTATGGCTGAAGGAGATCATAGTTCTACAACATATTTTGTCAGCGAATGTCAGCGATTGGGCGGAATCACCAAAGCAGGTTCAATTGCTGGCTTGAACCCATCTGCCGTGTTGATGGGCCGGATACGCAAAGTGAGTGGCCTGGACTATTTGCAATTCCTTGTTTCATGTACTTGCCAACAAAACACGTGAAGGGGGTGCTTGCAGTGTGGGACCAAACGTGACATTTCGCTCAAGCAAAGAGCCTGGAACACTAGCGCTCTGCGAGATCGAAACCCCAACCTTTCACGTGCTCGACCTCAGCCACGCTTGCTCTGTGCAATGTCTTGGTTCTTCTCCTAGGTGGCTTTGATCAATGAATTCCTTGCTTCAAGGTTCGCGCGTGTTTCCACGTTAACTACGGACTTTACGACGAGGAGGTTCTCAAGCTGAGTTGTTGCATTTCCTGCGGCCACATGTTCAAGATGTTCTTCGAAAGCTGAGGTCATGGCTCAAGGCAGATGGGCACTTCTCGCTTTGATACAGGCCAAAGCGTGCAAAGCGCGCAAAGCGTGCTTGAGGCTGACCCACAGCAGTCTGCTTCTTCGCTTGTGCTAGGTAGCAATTTGCCCACTCTCAGTGATTGGGCGCTCGGATGGCTTTGTCGTGGAGAAGAAGGGGCTACGAGTGCTGCTAGCAGCAAGAGGCATGAGGTTGCCTTCATTGCATGCTATCAGAGCTGAGGCCCGAAACATAGATGTGGAAGCCTTCAAGGCAGAGGTTCGCAATGCCATGGATGAGGCAAGCGCACAGAAAGCGAAGCGGAGCGAAAGGCGGGGAGAAGCTCAGGCCCTGGGCTGCGGTGGCGAGGTCAGCGAGAAACATCTGCAGGCTACAGAAGAGGCCCTATGCGTCACATCTGTCAGCCTCACACCCTGTTTTGCTTTGCTGTTCAGGTTCTGCACCCCATGTTTATTACACTCCCAAAGAACGGCAACGGCCGGCTCGAGCGACGGTCGCTGAGGCAGATTGCTTTTTGCCTTGGGGTTTCTTATAGGCCTTGGGCAGATCTTGGAATTTGCATGTGTTGCTTGCTCGTTGAATTGTACGGGATGCAGTAGGTCTGTCTCGACTACTCCTACTATGTTGTTTCAGTTCTCCACCTAACAAAGCATCTTGTTGCAAAAAGACCTTCCATGCATGCCAAGACTGCGGAGGTCTCAGCTTTGGGGTGGATCTTGATAGAGCGGCTCATGATGGCTCCTGCATGCAGTGAGGGAGGTTTTGTATTTATGGTTTCGATTGGCTTCATACATACAAGGAGATGTACTTTGCCAAATCACCTCAGCCGATTTATTTTGTGTGGTACGGAATCTCTCGTGCAAAAACCAGGGTAGAATGCAGCCGACAATGCTTGATGGCTTCAGTGTTTTGCAATGTCTGAGAAAGAGTAAGCTTCTCTGGATCCAGGAGGACCACAGATGTCTTGCCAATGTCTGAAAAGCTAAAGATATCGGAGCTACCTTTTTGCTGTAGCTGCCACCTCGGTGCTCCCCTTGTAAGACTGGATTGCAAGCCTGGCAAGCCTGTCTTTGCCAATGCTGTGCACTTAGAAAGCAAAAGCACCACATTCACGTCCTCTTCCTGTTGCTTCCACCACTTCACATAGAGAAGAGTAAAGCGTAGAGTGGGTCCCGGAGTGCAAACAAAAACTGAGAGGATCCACAAACCCGAATGCAGACACGTGACGCGTACATGGCAAAGACAATAACACCCGACGCGCGACACCAATCAGGAAACTAGGTCCGGGGTCGTCCTCTTCTCTCCTCCCTCTCTTCTCTCTCCTCTCTCTCTTCTCTCCTCTCTCTTCCTTCCTCTCTCCTCTCTTCTCTCCTCTCTTCTCTCCTCTCTTCTCTCCTCCTCTCTCCTCCTCTGTCCTCTCTCCTCTCTCCTCTCCTCTCTCCTCTCCTCTCCTCTCTCTCTTCCTTCCTCTCTCCTCTCTTCTCTCCTCTCTATTCTCTCCTCTGTCCTCTCTCCACTCCTCTCTCTTCTCTCTTATTTCTAGAGGCAAGTCCAAAAGCGACCACAGTTCTGCGTTTCGCGACCTGGACCCCCCCCGACCCCGGTGACTGTTGACATTTTTGAGATGCCACGACCCAAGTCCAAAAGTGAGGACAGTTCTGCGTTTCGCGACCAGGCCCCGCCCCGCCCTATCCTTGTGACTCTTGGCACTTTTGTAGGGCTAAGTGCAAAAAGTGACGACAGTTCTGCGTTCCGTTTTCGCCTGCCAAGGATGTGCGACACTCGCTGGCGCTTTGCGGACGCTTGCGGACACAAACGCAACAACTTTTGGTCACCTCCTGGACCCCTGGACCCCTGGACGCCAACCTTAAAACGGGAACCCTTCTGCGGCGCATTCGGGAATTGACCAGCATTCAATAGGGTTGGTCCCAACCGGTTTCAGATGGCTCACTACCCATCCTTGCGTCGGTTGAATTGGGCGGTCCAGCAGCTGACCGCTGTAATTTTGACCTAGCCGTATCGGCGATTGTTGATAGTCAATTGGGCCTGTAAAAGCCACTGCAGACACAACACTCCTGGATGGGCTTCCACGCCCGCAATGGGCCCAGTGGGTGCAAGAACACTCAGCTTGCCTTTGCCGCACAAATGTCGGCATGTTATACAACACAGACGTAAGGGTGCCAGAGCATCAGTTGATTAGTCGGATTGTGGCATACTGTGGCATCATTTGCGACAAGGTGAGCTCTTGGACTGTAGGTTGCAATGCGACAGGTACCTTGTTTACCGGTACTTCCACCGCAAGTCTGCTCTGGTGATTAGAGGCTTTGAGAGCCTCGGATGGAGAATGGGTATGGCTTTCCGGAGCAAAGTTGATTATGTTCTGAACTCAGGCCGACTCGCCTGATTAATGAATCGACATGGGGCGCTGCAGATATTCTCAGCGAACAAGCTTCCAGAGTGCAAAGCAGAGTGCAAAGCAGAGTGTAAAGCAGAGTGCAAGGAGTGTGCGAGGAGTGTGCATGTGCATTGGTCATCTTCATCTTGAGAGGTTCCTGGGTTTGTGGAGTCGGTGTTGCAGTCCAGCCACTTGACCGAGAGCGGCTTCGACCTGCGAGATGCTGCGTACATGGTGCTTTGGCATGACTTGGCAGCCACATCGTGACAGTTCGTGACAGCTTTGACATTTTTCTGAGGTGGCCACGTTGGAGCAGCTCATCTTTGACTCGGAGAGCGCCCTTCTGGAGAAGGCAGAAGCATTCACGCCGACTGTTTGCTCTCCTTTTCAGCTGCCCGCGAGCTTTCGGCTCATTTCAGAAGTTGTGTAGACGTCCAAGAGCTGCTGAAAATTGCAGATGCTTTGACCGCACAAGTGCAGTGAGCATGCGACTGCCGAGACTCTCTGGACACGGGCTCAGTGGGTCGGTGAGATTTTCGAGCTACTGTGATCTGAGCTTCAGAAGCAGATTGCCCACTGGGCCCACGTCTTGAAGGGTATTCCAATCCCAAATATCCCAATGTCTTGGCTCAAGGTTGGTAGGGCGGGTCATTTGGCATGCAGAACATGTCGATAGTGTTTGCTTACTGTAGAAGTGTCGGCAAGAAGGCTGCGCTAGCTAAGTCTTGGTGCACTTGAGCTTTGCTCAAATACCACAGGCTATGTGCACGCATACATAGCTTGCTCCCAGAATCATGGGACCTCCAGCTAATGGGAGTGCCAAAGGCGCAGCCGTGGTCTCAGTTGTTTTGTTCATGCTGGCTACGAGAGTTTGGTAGGTTGCTCTTCAACACATCGGTGCTTCTGCTAGCGTAGACTTTGTGCAGTCCACCAAGTGCATCTGCTCAGTCCGCTACGTCTAGCCTGGCGAGAATGTTCGCGAAGGCACGGTCATCATAATGACCTACTATGCAGACGTAACACATCCAGGACTTTTCGTGTCGGACTTGTTTCACCAGCTAGAAATGGCCCGGCACACAGAGCAGGCGAAAGCCATCAACGAAGAGGATGCGCGGGCAGAGGCAGAGGAGGTCCGCCATGCTATCGAAATGATGTGCACGCGTTGGCTACTTTATGGAAACGCTGCAGGACAAGGCAAAGAGAAAGGTGAAAAAAGAGCTGAAGGCATCCTCGTATCAAGCTGAGCAAATTGAGTGTGAAGCGCAGTGTCAGACAAATGTCCTGGGCAGGAGCCCCACAGAAAGAAGAAGGTTGACAGTGGAGCAACCAAGACCGATTCAGGAGGCTCAGGAGTGAAGGCTAAGGCCAAAGCCCGCGTACTGAAGGCTAAGGCAACAGCCAAAACCAAAGGGAGACCAAAAGCAAAAGCAAAGATAAAGGTTAAAAGGCGACTTGACTTCTTGGTGTGTTAACAGCTTGCCATGTTTGTGACATGGCATTGAGACTGGACCTGCCCAAGCGCTGAGGGAAGTCGAAGAAAAGGCTGCTAAGAGGTCATCCCGATGTCTCCCCTCGGTGTGCTGACTAGTGTCGTTCCCTGCAGGAGATGCACGAAGGGCGATTTGCCAGCCTGAGCCTGAGAAGGAGCTAGTCTGAGTATATCGTATGGCAGTCTGGGAAAAAAGAAGATCCAGGTAGTCTGCGTAGTTCTGCATGATATGCTGTGGTCCAGTGGTGCAACACACTCTTATTACTGAATCCGCTTTGTCCTTGAAGCTCCACTGGACGTTCCCCAGACGGTTTGGAATTCGGAGCTGGCTGTGAGGGGGGGGGCAAGGACGACTCCGTACCGGTTTGGGGGTACGCGATCGACGGAAAAGCAGGGAATGACTGGGTTGAGGATCGTTGAAAATCCTGGTCTCAGGGAACATCCAGCAGAAACACAAGGATTGGCATGGAATGGCATTCTCACCAGATACGCATGAAATGCTGCATGGTGATCTTCTGAGGCTTTGGACTGGCAGAAACAGTTCTACCGGCACCAGGTCCTGCCCTCACTTTGCTGAGCCTGCAAATGCTGTGCCGGTTGAAATGTGTGGACAACCTTGACCTGCGTTGACTGAGTCGGGCTTCATTGACCAGGCCACAGTGCTTTTCACATTGTTCATTGTTTGATTGTTGTAGCGCATCGTGTCTTCATGTCTTGAAGGTGTTCGCAACCTCCTGGTGCATTTGCTACGGGAGTCTGGGCACTGGGCTTGTTGGCGTCAGATCGCAAGAGGCCAGAAGGTTCAAGTAGGATGGTGCAGGGAAAAGGATGATGATGAATCATTTGCACACATTTGTTCAGTGCCTCTGCGCTGGAGTTAATCTGAATTTGTAGCAAGCGTGTTCTGGAGTAAGTGCAACTTGATGCATCCACACCTGGCAGCACAAAGGATTACCGCATCAGCAAGATTGCATGACTTCGTGCAAACTGCCCATACAGCATATCTTGAGAGTAAGGGTAAATGCGATAGATGTGAACTTGCTCTAGTATGTGTATTGAAATTGCGGTGCAATCTTTTGCTGAGAAGTGTTTCCAAGTTGGCAGCACGCATAGCAACCATCGTCCATCGAACGCATATTGCTTAGACACAGTCGTCTGAGTTCCCCGAATCCTTGTCATGCAGGCCGCACAATCCTCAGATGGTCCACCTCAAGAAGCGGATGACGGATCCGCAGCAGGACTGCCATGACCTCTAGGCGTTGCGGGGAAGTAGACCCTTTCAAGTGCTTAGGGGATGCTGCAGCAGGGAAGGCCGGCACTTCAGACATTTGCAGCAGACTTCATGCGAAGGGTGCGCATACACACCAGAAACAATGAGGTCAGAGGCTTGCAGAAAGATGACGTGCTGATACTGTCGGCTGCCGGTGAAGTTGTAAGTTGCGGTTCAGCTTTTTCCAAAACTGATCTTTTTTAGCAATGCATCGCAGAGGTTTCGCAACGCTCCGAAATGCCAAGCGCAGAGAAGATCCGGAAAGATGATGGTAGCCTTCTCGCATGCAGTCCCAAGACGTTAATTTGGCCCAAGGGCACCGAAATTGGTGAGGCTGGTTACGAAGGAGGTCAGCTAGACCTGGAGAGTCGAAGTCTCCATTGGAGCCCCTTGCCGCAGATGTTTGCCACATGGCCCCTTGTATGTTGAGCTGCCAAGGCTCGCAGCGAAGTGACAGGAGAAACAAGATTATAGATGAGCCGCTTGCCGAGTCCACTTGTCAGTTGCATGTTCGTCTTTATCTTGATTTCATTGATGTATGATGGCACGAAATGACCATGGTGCGTCTTGCTGTGCGGCCAGGATCATCAGCCATATAGGGAAAGGCGGGAGAGTCATAGTCGCCGTCCGACCTCCTGGATCATCAGTTGACGATGTAGACTATCGTCTGCTTGGTTACTTGGCACGCAACTACGAGCCTCTGACTGGTGCTTCTGAATGCTTCCTGTTGCTGAATCTGCTGGCAGGCCAGGTCTCCAAAGTGGACCAGGTTCAGCGAGCACTTTGCTTGGTAAATCCGGGGGACCAAGTGATACAGGAGATTCTAGGGGCCTGAGACGAACAGTCTTTCTACAGTACATTTGCATGTTTCGGCATTCCTGGCAGGAGGAGGGCGGCAGAATGCACAAGGTTTTTTGCGGGCATTTCCAAGCTGCGCATGTTCTCAGACAACTTTTGACGGTATGTGCAGGCGATGACAGCAGCATGTCTGTCGGACAAAGTAATGAAGGAAGGCGAGAACAGTGTTACCAAAAGCTGTCACATCCCACGTTGTTGTTCGCCTCTGGAGCTGACAACGCAGGCGGGCTGAGAGTCACGCGTTGTGTAGACCCAGAAACAGAGATCCTGTGCACAACCTGTTGCTACAGGACTGTCTGAAAGCATCCTGCAGCTTTGCCATGATCTGTGCTCTTGATTAATCGGGAGGGTCCCCCCCTTGAATGATGTCTGAATCTCATTATTCCAGATATCCGAGTTCCGCAAAGGAGAAGTAAATCATGTTAAGTACAAGTAGCACATTCAGCAGAAGTAACAGGAGACAGAATAAGAGGTAAGTGTGAGAGTTTGCAGCAGAGGATGATGAATCAGATTCTAACTGGCTGTAATCAGAACCGTTATTTACTTCTCACTAGGTTCATATTTGACTTTAAGCTCTCGTTTAGATCTTGAGTTAGTTTGAATCTGATGTCAACCAGTTTTAAGTAGAGTTCAAGCTTTTCAACTAATGACACTGAAAAGGTTTCTGTTATTCAAGCGTTTTCCATTTAAAGCAAGATCCTGTCATGCAAGGTCCGCAAGGGCAGTTCAGGAAGCAATGCTTGAGCGTTTAATTCCTAATCTTAATGATTTTTTTAGCAAATCAGGTGTCAGAATCAGCTTGTTTTTTCTCATTTTACTTGCAGCCTTAGGAAGCAAATCAGGCGTCCAAATCACTCTGAATTCCTTACCTTTAAGAGCAGCGTAGTAGTTTCTGAAACTAATGACACTGAAAAGCAGTTTCTGTTATCCTAGGGCGTTTTCCATGATTTTAAAGATCCTGGCACACAAGGTCCGTAAGGGGTAGTTCAGCGTTTGAGGCTTTGATTCCTAAGAGCTTATACGCGAATCAGGTGTTAGAATGAGCTCTCTTTTCTCATTTTAAGAGCAGCCAAGTGATTAAGCAACACATTCCTTTTGAATGTTAAGCTTGAGCTTTTTAGTATTCCCAGTAAGCCTTTTGAATTGATCTCCTGATTAAGCAGAACCTTTCTTGTTTTCTGGGGTCTGGAATTCATTTTCTTTAAGTCATGGGATTTTTGGGCCCAAAACGGCCTTTAAAGCGCTCTTGGACCCCTAATTTGGCCAACAATTTCTCTTTAAGTCGAGGAGGTGTTTTTTGTATAGTCCAGAGCATGGGTTAGTGTTAGCTTTGTGTTCCAGCAACGTGCGCAAAGTGGAGGACGCCAAACCTTGTGCTACACTTCGACGATCTGGAACCTGCCGGCGCCATGCCCTCACGGTTGGGCTTCTTATCTCGGCTTTCACGGGCATGGTGCAAGGTAGAGGCCTACTTCGCGTCTACCTCCAGAACGAAGGTGCCGAGCATGTTGGCAAAGTTGTGAGAGGATGCCAGCAGCTTGATAGTCTGCAGACGACTCAAAGGGACATACCTGTGGATGCCATGTCCCAGCAGCGTATCGAACCCAATATTCAGAAACTTCACGTAATTCACGGAACTGGCTTTCTCGTGGGTGACTTGAAGCATTCTTTTCCCCATAGTTTCTGGATCCAAAAGCTGGTTGTAGGTCAAAGAGGAGCTGGAGGAGCCTGAAGACGAACCCCAGAGGCAAGGGTATGCAAGGGTGGACCAGTCAGATGCTGTAATGCTTTTGTTTTCATTGCAGGCCAAGAAGGCGCTACAGGAAGAAGAGGCCACTGGAAGGCGATGAGACCGAGGAGGCCCAGGAGCCCGGGCCAGAGCCTGGGCAGGAACCGGAGGATCCGGAACTGGTGAAGCCCGAGCCTGTGCCGGACCTGGATCTGAGCCCGTGGCCAGAATCCATCTGTGCCTTGTTCGCATGTAGCTCAATGTAGCTGCTGCAGCTCTCTGCAAGTCATCAGAGCCCGGCGAGGCATCAAGCGGGAGCTTCCAGACTTCTGAGTACAGCGCCGTACGTGTCATGCTTGACAGAAGTATTTAAGAAACACCTTTTACATCTTCCCTCCTGCACCGGTGCGGGGAACCTGCATTGGTGATTTGCTCGCAGGTAAAGCAGCTGCCGTCGTTGAAGCTTAATGGTATCCCGACCAAGCCTGACGTGCATTCGTAGGGGTCACCTGTGGGGCGGTGAAAGCGGGCCTGAGAGTTCGCGCAATGCCCTGGCGGATATTGTGCAGATAGCTCGTTCCAGTGGCATGTTTGAACCACTCCAAAAAGCCCTTGCACCTTGCTACAGTACGCCTGCCACATGTTGCTGTCAGCATGTTCCTTGACATTCAATGACGAGTGAGGCATGGCTAAGAGAGCATGATGAAGCAGCGGCGGGGTGGGGTATGGAGAACGATTCTGCGCCAAGGACCTCATCGGGGCTTGGATGGATTCGTGGTCCCATGAACACTCTGACTGCTGCTACGTGCATAGCGGTGCGAAGCACTGGCGCCTGTGACAACCATATGCATGATTTCTGACGCCCGTCCCCTACATGACGCACGCGTGCGGAGCAGGGCATGCGGAAAATACGCACATCTGACGAGGGCAGCAACACAAGTGCATAGAAGACCTGAGCATGTCTAGCCTTCGAGCTGCTTTCTCTTTGCAGGTCTACAACCTGCAGCACAAGCCACTGTCGCGGATGTTGTCCGAACAGGGCTTGCAGCAACTCCTGGAGGCTTGGAGCCTGGTGCATTTGCTAAGGCATATGAGATCACTGATTCAGGCCTACATTGCGGTCTGGATGGCGGGCGATGACATTGTAAGCTTGCCGCAGCCACGGTCGTTGTATGCATGAAATTTGGCAGCTTTGACAGCTGCAGGTTGGGAAACAACCGGGAGTTGGCACAGGCTATCTTGTGGCTAGCCATGGCCTCTGTTTGGCTTTGCGCTTTTCGAAGCATGCCGCCAGGTCTTCCCTCATTGGGATCAGCTGCTGCTCTTCGCCCGTGGCCAGATCTCAGCCGCTTGCCTGGTCTTTTGTGCGCCTCCCCTCCCGTATCATCTTACCCAACCAAACTGCAGCTGACCCCCTCCAATGCTCAGCGCCTTGGGCGTCGGATGCAAGGGCTTAATCTAAAGTTTCGGCGCAGGGTTGCCTTTGTTCTGCCGGGTCAGCTTGACCGTACGTCACTCCGAGGTCCTGTGCATGCTCGATAGATTTCGAAATCATTCGTAAAGGCATCAGAGAACAACACAGAAAGATAGCAATGAGACCTGGACCTGCATCTCGAAGCTCGTGTTACTTTGGCAAGAGTCCCTTAAGCTCCAGGAGGCTCCTGCAAGTCTCCTACTGCTTGTCTGCAGAAGCTATTGCAATTGTCTACGCATGTCCTACATCAGACGCCCTTTTTGGAGCCCTCCGTCCGCCTGATAAGTTATGGTTCCTCCCGTGTCCTGACTTTTATGTTTGCTCCTATGGCTTAGCAATCGCGGCATCGACTGACCGCAAAGTACAACCAAATCTGGCTTTTCCCAACTACGCCGCCATGCAGCGCAGATGAAGGCGTGCTTTGCTGTTCCTGAATCTTGGTCTCTTCCATCTCTTGTCGAGGCATCCGCCCGAACCCTTGTCCCGTGTGAGGTTGGAACCTTGGCTAATTGCCTGACTCTTGGGCACTCTACCCGCCGAAATGCCTCATTTGGCAGAGCCTTCAGCGAGCTGCCTCACTGTGCCAATGGATGAACATGCATCGATCCCTGTTTCGACACCCTCCGGATTTCATCACATCATACATGCAACCTAGACTGAAATGTTCATCTGAAAAGGCTAGCCTGTCTTGTATCTTACCTTTCCCATTGCCCTTTTCGGAGGCCGTAACCCTAGACTCTTGGGCCTGGAGGAACCGACACTTTCCACATTCTCCTTACTAAGGACTCGCTATTCTGCGTGACCCTTCGGTAATCGATGATGATGTCCATCGGGTTTTCTTCAACTTCCTCTTTTCTCAACTTTAAGCTCTTAGACAAGATACCCTTATATACCCTTGTTTTCCGCTTCGTCCTCTGACGGCTCATTTTCTGGGGCATCCTCTCTACTATCTCCAGAATCAACTTCATCCGTACCTTGAGGAAGAGCTGATTTCCCTCTCTGCCTGTTGTACTGGCCATGCGGTGATCCGTGTCACAACACTAGCTTCAGATGATCACGCATCCTCAAACTCCCTGGCCAACGTCGTAGGAAGTATTGGGAGGTCTTTGATGATCCTTACTGGCAAATTCCATCTGCTGCGCGTGATGAAGTTGAACCTTCTCAGCGGCCCACTCCATTTTGCAGTCCAACATCCGGACCACCTGGACAGGGTTCCGCCGAGAAGGGCAAGAGCCAAGGCAAGATTGCAGCAAGGGAAGAAGCAAGAAGTGAGCACAGCTTGAGTAAGGGAATGTTGTCTTTTCAGAAAGGTATGCAAATTACCCCGCCCTCAATTCGTGTAACATGACACCAGCAATTCGTGTAACGTGACACCAGGGCATATGTCGTTTCTAGGAGAACTTTTTCGTTTGCCTTGCTGTATAGCACCTTTGCTTGGGGATATTTCCTAGTGGGAAGGGGATCTTGCGCAGTAGGAGAAGGCTGCCTCTCCAGGACGGTATCTAGATAATGCATATGCCGGTGAGACTGTCTGAGAGCGTTGCCATCGTTACGAATCGACTTCAACCGATTTCATGAAAGAATTGCAACTCGAATTTGGAACTCTTATAGCATGGGACTTTAGTAGCGTTTATGTTGCAGTGCCTTTGCTCTTAGTACAGTGACGTGTGCATAACCTGCTAAAAAGGTCCGCGCATCCTGAGGTCAGCAGGCAACACTACTGTGCATGTTTTTTGCCTTTGAAATTTGTGCCTGGTTGAAGCATTGAGTTTCTTGCCAGTAAAGTCGCATGTCCAATCAGAAATGCATGATGTCCATGAGGGTCCGAATGAATCCAATGTAGGCAGCGAACTGCCGGCAATCTGTACACAATCTGTGCTGTGTTGAGGGCTAACATGCACCACTGACATCTGGAAAAGGATGGGCGGGAGTTGTGGGGCCATGTCTTGCATGTGGGGCGGACCTTTCGCGCAAGGGAAGCGCAGCCTGAGGCTTTGGATTACCAGCGCGAGAACAATCCGAAACTCAACATGCAAGCGGGAGGCAATGCACTACTCAAGCGCTGCTTGGCAAATGATTCGTGTTGCGTTGCTAGCGCACGAGTGAACTGTCAAAGCACTGTTTCGAATGGCAGCATTCGTTTTGATGTAATCCATGCGGATGCCACAGCTTGCACAGCAAGCGAGGCTATTCTTTCGATGATGCCCACGCGGTCGTAGGCTTGGTCTGCAAAGTTTCGCCAGCCTGTCAGGTAGCGTGCTCAACCACAGTCATCAAGCTCTTGTGTTTTCAGGTACCAGGTAGGGTCTCAGACACAGGAAACGTGCAACCTATCGAATATGGGACTCAGGGAGTGAGACTGTTGAGGATTGGGGCCGATAGGACGAGGCTTTGAATGGGATTGTCTTCAGGGAGCCACAAGGGCGTTGCAGGAAGCCCACGAGCAAATGACGTCTCCCCTTGACCGTGACAGGAGAGATCACGAAATCGTTTGCATCCTATTGGGAATCTGAGCATCTGGGCGGAAGGTGTAAAGCAAGATGCACGTCTAATATTGCGGTGGAAGTTTTTCTTGATTTGTCAAGAAGAACCACCTTTCGTAGTTTCGGCGCTCTTACAACCAGGTGTCGAGCTATGAAGCAGAAGCTGGTCAGCTTGGACAAGCGCAGAACTGGGCGAGTGCCTTTGTCCAAGTTCTATGGCAAGTCCCTGACAGATGCTGAGTGGCGGTTCGGTGAGTCCGAGTCCTATCTTCGTGGTTTGGCTTCAATCTCGAAGTTGTTTGTTTGTATGATGTGAGCTTGGCCTTCCCCAAGAGACTCTTTGGGAAAGGGCTGTTGTCTTCTGCCTGGTTCAGGAGAGCTTGGCGCTTTAGATGAAACCTCCTGGTTGGGGAAGCAGGTGATCATCTCCAATTATATACAGGGCGCCTCGAACTGTGCCTTGCCTTGACTTAGAAAGGAGAGAAATGCGGGCTTAAGGGTGGAGATGCCCTGGCGAGAACCCCAGAAACCCTATAGTCCCTATAGTTTCCACTTTCTTTTCCATTATCCCAACATAACCCCTATACAACCCTAATATAATACTGTATGCCAGGCATTGTGACAGCTTCTCATTACTCTGTTTGCTGCATCAACGAATGCGAGCCCATCATGGCTGAGATCGAAGAAGCTGTTAAGGGCCCTCTCGCAGAGCCCGATTTCATGCTGTCTCTAGTAGGCAACATGACGGCCTTGACCACACTTGAGGATGAAGCTCCTTTTCTTGAGATGCTGTAGTTCTTTGAAGGCTGAAGAAGATTTGAACTTGGTAGTTAAATCTTTTGTGCGGGTTTGACTGAAGAATTCAGGTTGACGTGCACTTGGACGAGTCCTTGGTTGCGCAGCTGACCTCTATTGCAAAAGCCCACGGTGGCAAAGTTCCGATCCATGGTCGGCTCTTTGCTCAATGGCTCCACTATGTCTTTCCACGAGACTGCTCCTTTCCCCACAAGTCTGGTGCCGCCCAGTCACTGTCTCCCACACAGTTTGGTGATGGTTACCTCGCCTCAGATGATGAGATGGAGGCCCATGCCAAGGCAGGAGGTGGCCAACATCAAGACATTGAATCAAGTCCAGTCCCAGCCTCTTTCATGTACTTGTCGATTCCTTTACAAGGAAGAAGAACACCTGCTTTTGGGGCTTTTGGTGTTATGCCTTTTGCTGTTCGGCAGCACACAGACATGTGCTTGCCCCGAGGACACAAAAGCGGAAATTCCTCTGGCAACCATGAAGAAAGAAGAGCTTCAATGGATGTCGCAATGGAGCGAGGATGAAGAACTCATCGCAAGCTACAGCGGACTGCTTGCCAGTCCTTCAGCGTTTGGCTTCCAGGGTGGTGCGTCTAAGACTGTTATCCTGCTGGGATTCGGGCTGTTCATGCTTGCAGCGCTGATTGGTGGTGTCAGCTTCAATCGCAAGGTATTCGCTTGCCAAAAAAACATGTTGTCCGTGAGAATCCTGCAGCCCTCATATTCAAGGGTTAAACGGGGCCATCCTGTCCAAGAAGAGTCGCCCCCCCATTTCGTCAGCCTGACACTTTTTATGCGCATGTGCAGGTCCCAAATCAGGACTTCCTCCTGCCGAGTGCCAGCGGCAAGACTCACTTCGTGTAGTGGTTTCCGCGAGCAGGCGGACCTTGCAAATGCATCCTGGGCACAGCTGAAGCGGCATGCGCTCATGAGGCGTTGAATATCGCACAATAAGCGCATTAACGTGGCACCTGTCATTGATTTATTCTCACCCGAACTGTTTCAAAACCCTGGCCAGAGCACCCAGTGGGCTGCTATGTTGCGGCCTTTTCAAGCAACTGGGTCAGCGAGCGATTGCAAATCTTGTGCTGTGACAAACCTGGCGCGAGCAAGATATCATTTTCTCACTTGGAGAAGCTTGGAAAAGCCACCTGCTTACGACTGGGATGCGTCAGCAGGGTCCGCAATGCAGCAAATGTCAAATAAGGTTGAAAACAATGCTGGTGTGGATGGCCTAGCCCAACAGGTTTCCTGCTGAGCCTTCTAGTCTTGAAGCCGTGAATTGTGAGGCAGCCAACGCCGCAGCAGCCGGATTACATCGGCCTCGTCCAGAAACTGTGGCCTTGACCTTAAACCACAGGCTTGGCGCACCTACCACATCCTACCATTGTGTGCATGCAGCAGCCGAGTACACCCTTGCCATGGCTTGTAAGGTAGGTTGTCACAAATAGGCTAGAGAGAGGAAGGTAGGAAAAGCTTGTGCACATGTGCTGCACAGCAGAACCTCAGAATTCACAAAAGCATTGGAAAAACTCAAGTTCTCTCATCAGGCAGCTGCTGCAGCTGGGGACCCCGTGGCCAAGTTCTGTATGCAACACGCGGTAGACTATTCTGTCAAGCGCTCGGGCTCCCTGGGCACTTTGAGCAGCGAAGCCGAGGGACTCCACAACTGCCAGGCTGAAAATGCTCTGAGGGCACTGCCTGTCCAGCCGAGAGCCTTGTTGCCTTCAAGAGGCCTTGCCAGCCCGGACAGTACCCCTTTGCTGAGGCTCCAGTGTCGCATTTTGAACGAAGGGCCGCCGGAAGCCCAGCGCAAGATGCCCCGGCACCCATCAGCCCTGTCCCATTCTCAGAGTCCGTGTCCTATTCTCAGAGGCTGCGGGCTTCCAACCCATCGGCTGTTCTGATGAGTCGAATACGCAAGGCGGGCTGAAATGCTAGACCTGTAGAAGATACAGCTCATGGCTGCAAGCCTGGACAGGCGCAAACAGTCTTGGCAGAGATGAGACGCCTGGGGAAAGTGCCCGTGTAAGTCCGGCTGAGTGGTTGCTCTGGGTCACGTCTCCAACGGGGGACCATGACGAATGATGATTGGCTACACCCGAATTAGTGACATGACGCAGCCAAGTTGCTGGACAGGATTCCAGGTCTGACTGGAAGCCGCTCACCTGGTGGTAAGTACTACACTCACTACGTTCTGTTCTGTTCTGAACGGTCAGACCTTCCCGTCCTTTCGGCACAAGACATGCGAGCACCCCTGAAGCAGTTGCCTTCACGAATAGGAAGGCCATTGTCTTGCTATAAGGGATTGCTGAACTCCTGTTAGTCCACGCATGTTTGCGCACAAGTATCGACTCGTCAGCATGTCCAAGCCTGCTGAGCTTGAAAAGGGCATCTTCCTGCGAGATAATCAAGCTGGCAGCCGCCGAAGCCGGGATACTTTCTCCAGCGCAGGAAGCAGCCACGAGCAGCCAGCGTGCCTGCGCATGAAGCCTAAATCCGTCGGACCGTGAAACTCACGGGTTGCAGTTACACTTGCTGTGTGCTTTCTGAGGAAAGTGGTGAAAACCGACCCAGGCAGCTGCAACCCAGCCTGCGTCCCTGATAGAGGCTGGGAGAGGAGATAGATCAGGCTTCAGTTCCTTATGCCATGTTCGCATCGCTGCAAGGAATTTGTGGTCATGGAGTCTGCTTCTGCCGATCACCCTACTCCGGTCAAACCTGCGAGTTGGAATTCAAGGCCGACACATGCCGACACCTTGCAAGCTGCTTGCTCCCTTCAAGAGTGAGATCCTGGTGTCGTGGGCGTACTGCTTGCTTGCCTGCCTTGCTAGGAAGAGTACGTGAGATTCGGCTACTTCACTGTTGTTTGTCTGGTTTCAGCGGTGCTGGCGTGTTGGCAACATTTGTGACCATGTGACTCTGGACCTGGCATCGGAAAGAAACACATCAGGTGGCAGTTGTCCTTGGCTTTTTTGCCGCAGACATCGTGTGGAAGGTCACGAGACCGGCCAGCATCCCAGATACTTCCTCCACCCAGGGGTAGGCACGTTTGGGATGCAAGCATGCTATGTGCACCGTGTGTTTCTACCGCAGTCGCCGAAAGCTGCTGCAGCAGTGGGAGCCCGACAGGTAGCTGGGACCAGTTCGGATATTGGTGTCTGTGCCAAAAGTCTGAGTTTTTCTGAGCTCAGGAGACCTGGAGACCTCAAGCCAACTGAGCTCGCTGGAGATGCTATCACATGTCTACTTACGCAGAGCCCGCTGTCTTACCGTTGCCCTGTCGAAGCTGTTTCTGCAGCGAGCAGAAGCAGGAAATGCAACCTGTGCAGATGCATCTCAAAAAGCCTGGTCCGAGTCTTGCAACTGCGCAGCTTCTGACTTGCGCAATGTTCTTCCACAACCTTGCAGATGTCTTACCCTTGGGGCTTGGCTTGTCAAGCTAGACATCTGTAGCTGTAGATGTGTCATTTATTTGTGCACGGCCGCTGTCTTAGAGCTTGACTGACTGGGATTTGCGGATGTCTGTGGGTGTGTGCGGCTGGGAATTTCTTTACTGAGGCTGTTAGCCATGGCAGCCCCAAGCCTAGACACCTGCTTATACAAGCTTGATAACAGAGCATGGCCGGAATGACTGGAATGAAGCAGTTTCTAGGTCGAGGACACGAATGGCGACACCAAGGCCAGGAGGTTAGGAGGTTTGCTTCGAGATGTCTGCGAGCAATGAGGTGGTCAAGAAGCCACGCCTAGAAGAGCGCCTTCCCCGAATGAAGGCTTTGCCCTGGATGCCATTTGATCCTGCTCGGCTTGCTTGGAGAATCTTGGAGATTTTGACACGTCCTACATGTATGGATCAGGTTGAGAAGTACCGAAGCTTCCAGAACTGGTCTGGCACTTGTAGCACAGCAAATCTGAATCGGGGGAAGTCTCCATGCTTGTAAGGTACCAAATCCCATTCGATGAAAAGTGGCCTAGCTGGCATGTTGCACTGAAAGTTCGCCGTCACTGGGCGTGCACACTTGTTGCTGGATGACTGGTCAGAGGCCTAAGCGCTCCTGGCCGGAGAAACGGATCACGAAGGCGCATGAAGGGCCACCTTGCTTCCAGCAAAACTCTTCATGCTTTGCTACTTGGCTACTGCTTGTCAAGGCACCGCGCTGGTGCACTGTGGACCTTCGCGATGGCAATCAGGCCTTCCAAAGACTTCGTCGACCCTGCAAGAGATGGACACTTTGAGTTAAGCCAAATGCTGCTCTGTGACCTCCTGACTGGATTGGCATTGGCATTAGGCGCTGATCAACCCGATGAACCACGACAAGAAGCGATCGGCTGAGACACAGTAGAGTGTCGGTTCTCATTCCACTGTAACCTGCTTCCACTGCTTTGAGATCTCAGTGGTGAGGTTGCGATTATTTCTGCATTTGCTGAAGTTGGGCTACAAGGAGATAGAGGCGTGACTGTTGCTCGTTTCATGAACTGCTCGGTTTCAGCATCTAAGGTTGGATTTCCTGCCGCCAGCCAGACAGACTTCGACTTCATTCGCTGCCTGGTTTGGCAGTGGAGAGATGCTTTTGCTACAGTAGAGCCTCAGCAGAGTGCCGGAGTAAGTTCCGTCGAACCCAGACCCTTGCTCTCCGCGGTTCCCCGAGTCGGGTGCGCGTCGACGGGTCCTCTCAAGCTGCCCCATGCCCCGGAGTTATACCTTTGTGTGCTTGGCTTGAGTCTTTCAGAGCTGTGGAAATATTTGCATTCATGCTAGTGTGGTAAGTGTGGTTGTGGATGGTTTACTGGCAGGTCCCCAGCAGCTCCACAGCCGACAATTTAGACCATCGGCCTAAACACAAAGCTGTTTGTTTTACTCTGGCCCTCTCTTCCTGACTCTTCCTCCCTTTTCCTTCATTTCTCTCTCCACCGCCTCCTCCTCGTCCTCCGAGTGCTCTCCGATTCCCTCTCCAAAACGAGCACTCTCCAGGCCTGAATCTGCTGACCTCCTCTTGTGCTTTGTTAGTTGTCATGACGGCCAGAACTCATTCTGCGAAAAAAGGTATTCCAGCTCCCAATGGAAAATGTGGGGCCCCCTTTGTACCTTCTGCTTCTCTTGGGGGTGTTTATCTTTGCCTTTCCTCACGCCCTTGTTGCGCTTTCGTTGCAAGTCGCAGAACTGCAAGCCACATAGATGGCTTATGAATGTTTATGAGTTCCTGCAATATTTTTGCCTACGTGGTATCAGAGGCAATCTGCAGAACGTTTTCAGCAATTGTGGCATTTACAAGGTTAGATTTAGGCCAGGTAAGGTAGTCTGTGTGCCTTGGCAAGGTTACATCATTGATGAGGGCTTGATTCCGGATGATGTGTGGATCCAGGCCCATATGCCCAAAACTAAGTTTAGGGATTATACAGGGATTATAGGGGGTGATATTGGGGTTATATAGGGATAATAGAAAAGACAATTGAAACTACCTTAATGGGTTATATGGAGACGAGTAGAAGTAATGCAGAAAAGTGTCTTTGCACGGCCAGGTTCTAACTCAGTGCCGAGAGCCGCTCATCCTTCGGACCATTGAAGGCGCCCGGGTGAAGAAGTGGCAGGGCTTAAGCTTGAGTGTGGTGTTACTGTTACTACTATTACTTTGATTACTAGTAGTACCATCATTATATCGTTCCTATTAATACTGGACTGCTTGCGAGGCGTGAAAGGTGCAAAGAACGTTGTGCTGCAACCTCAGCCCTGATAGGTGTGCTGGCACATGCGAAGCACTTTCAGGTTCTCTTCAGGTTCTCCAGCTCCCAAACGGGTAAATTGGAGTTTTAGGATTTTAGGGTTTAGTGTTCAGGGTGAACCCCGAGCTCAGTAATGTGGACAGCATGCTCACTCTGTAGGCTGAGAGCTTGGCTGGATAGACATTCACGTGGGCTGGATGGGAAGCAGTGGACAGAAGCCATGCGTTCAGCTGGAAATGCCCGCGTTTGACGTAGAGGTGTGACAAATGATTCCATTCCATAAGCTGCTGCATAGCTTGACAATTGCTAGAAGTCGATTAAGGCTGAGGCTGAGAAGATCAAGCCTTGAGCAGGTTGTCCATGTGCAATATCAGGCTTGACAATTTCTAATTCACTGAGCTGAGAATTTAGATTGGACAAATCCATTCGGCGAACCCTGCGCTGAGGATCCACGTCTACAACTCCACCTCTGAACTGCTTCAGCCTGAGTTAGTGGCAAGCTTCCTGAGTTTTCCCACCAATTTTCAGCTTCAAAGTATATCAGCGCAGTTCCAACATGGCCTTGTGCATGCACTGCTGAATGATGGCATTCTCTGATCCAGTGGCAAAAGCATTGCGACTCGGATTCATTTCCGCAACTTGAACGCAGTCTCATGACAAGGCAGCGGCGAGTCGTGTTCAAGAAGGGCAGGGAGGACTGAGAGCTCAGCTGCCTTTGTGATTACCCTGAACTATGTGAGGCTGGGAAGCTTGAGGGTCTAGGGGATGGTGGTGGAGCTTGCAGCTCTGGCGTCTTGGGTGAGAAACGGGCGCCCCATGGCGCTGCTGATGCTGGTCTCAGGGACCCTGCGCACGCCTTGTTTCCTAGGAGCCTCTTTTTTCTCTGTGAGCATGTCGATGTGCCAGGCACAGTTGTTGCTGTTGCGCAAAGCTGTAGCACAGTGTTTACGGCCATGGCGTTGCTGCTACAAGAAGCCAGATTTCTGCTGCCTTTGAGGTTTGCTGTGCTGCCTCTCAAGTTGTTTCTAACAGCTGTTACGCAGGACATCAAGCAGCTTGCTCTGGAGAGCGTTGGCCTGGTGAAGCACTCTGGCTGATTACGCCGACTGGCCAACGGTCTGATTCAAACACTTGCTTCCTCAGCTAATTTGCTGGCCAGGAAGCTTGTTGATGAGCGCATGGCGGGCATGAACGTCCGTCTAGAGTACTCACCCGAAAGGCGGAGCGGTAAGGATCACGTGCCTCGCCGCGCTGTTGTGTGCCACGAATCTAGAAGCAGTAGATGTGCTTGTCAGTTTCACCGGCACAGAGCTCGATTTTGCGCTGGACGTTTGCAACGCCGTGGTTGACGTGTGGAGGGCTTAAGACTTCAAGTTTGCGTCTGACCTGCCATGGTTGCTTTGGAAATGCTGCATGCAAAGGTTCACAGGAGCTAAAGGGTTGAGTCCTGCATTGCCACAGCTGTTCAGAGCACAATGCCAGCTTGCCAGTGAGTTCATTGTCCAGAAGAAATGTTTCATGCCAAACAAACTTGCTCCTGAGGTGGAAGCCAACTCCGGACCAGCAGGTCCTTTTCTGTCGCCATTCGTGCAAGAAGCATGCGCCGCCCTGGTGACAGGTAATCCTGAATCTGCCTGGAACTGTGGAGATGTGCACCCCAAACGTTCCAAGCTGAGCAACCATTTCTTGACGGTTGCCACTGACAAGTTCAAGACGTTGCAGTGCACGTTCGTTCGTAGCTTTTCAGGTTTACGCTGATCAGATTGAGTGGATGTGCGCCCACATCATTCAGAGGGACTGCGTGCACGGGTCTTGGACTTTCTTGCCCCAATCATGCTGTGCGCAGATGTAGTCTACACGAGGTGCATCAGTGTGCATCCACACAACGATCGCGGCACCGGAATCGCGGCAGCAGAGCTTGCTATCATGGCAGGAGTTAAGTCACAGCATTGTAGTGAGTTTTGAAGAGGAGGCTGCTGTTGAGCTTCTGCTGATCGACAGGAGCTGACCGCGTTGAGGGATGCTTGTTCGGAAACGGTGAACGCACTGGAAACGTGTGCCCAGCTGAGATTTGGCAGTTGTGCAACCCGAATTGCAGAAACGATGGGGTTTAGGGTTTGGGGTTCTTTAGGTTTTACGGTTGGGGTTCTTTGACGTGTTGAAGAGCAACTGAGCATTGAGGTGCCTGGTTACCTTGGCCCTGAACATGTTCACTCAAGGCATTGACCCGGAGGCAGGCAGTTGTGTGGGCTGTGACCATCCGTGTTCTGATTCACCAAGAGCAGGGATTCTGACATGTCCAGGTGAGCTACGTTGCGTTGGAGGAGCCGGATGTCCATTGAAAGCTTACGTTGCCAGATGCTTCTGGCAACTTTCGGAGCCTTCTGTTGCAGATCTGCAGGAGACCATCAATGTGGCAGAGCACTGCACTGAGTTGAAGGTCCCGGAGCCATGGCCCCAGCACAAGCTCCTGCTGCATAGGCTGGGCTTCATCACTTGAAAGTGACACTTCAACTGAAGCTAGGTCATGCTCAAACCAAGACTCTGGCTGTACAGCTTTAGCATTACAACTCGTGCACAGGCATGTGCCTGGTAGAAGGCGTAAGAACAGCTGTGGGCTCTCAAGATTTCACACATCGCCGCCTGGCAACATCACGTGTAAATTGTTTGGCCTGCATGGAGCTCCCTCTCGTCTCCGAAGATGCTTTTCAAAGCTGCGGCCTGGACCTGGTTTCCGAGCTCGAGCTTGCAGCGTCGGTGCAAAGACGCCTCCTCAAAGACGAGGAGACGCTTTGCTTTCTATCCAAACGTCAAGTTCAGATTAGGTGGCTATCCTGAAGTGTCAGGACGCCGGTGAACTTCCTGCTCTTATTTCTGTCGCTACACCGAAATCGAAACGAAAGTTCCTGTGCGATGCTCTGAACGAGAGCCTGTCGCAGGCCTGGCCCGCCGCGTATGCATACGGTGCGCATGCTTGGTTTAGCATCGTGTAACTTTGCCGATGAGATCCATCACTGTTGTGCAGGTTTGGGGCACGTTGCTTTCTCGTGTGGTGCCTTCCACCTGTGAGACGGTTCCTTCGTGCCTGAAGTACCTACTGGACAACAAGGCTCCTGCCTGGCGAACAAACTTTAGTGAGACATGAGCTTCGAAGCTGGCGGAAACCAGCATCTTGGACCCTGTGCTTTTCAGGCACCGAGTGGACCAGCGGCTGACTTCGCGCTGGAATTCCTGCTTCGCTTCATGGCGCTGGAGCTGCTCTTGAGCCAGATGCTTTGCCAGCGCTTCCAGGCCAGAAGCAAATCCTTTCGACTGCCGAAGCTGCCCCCCCTGCTTGGCCTGTTCAGTGCAGGTTTCCAGCACGCGACTGTGGGAAAGCCTGGCCTACCAGATGTACAACCTTCCTGACGCTGTCCATGAAGCCGTAGCATCTACAGCGACTTGGGAAAACCATTTTGCAACAGCTTTGTCGAAATTACCGATACTACATGATATCACTGTTTTGCATTTGCTTCGGGCATCCGAACTATCCCAGAAGTGACCGGCCAGTCGAGGACAGTGGTGATGAGGATGCTGCACTTGACGCTGCTTTAGCCTTGCGCAAAGTGGTCCAGTGCCTGAAGGTTGGTACAACGGTGTCTGAACCTTCATGCCGTGGTTATGACCCCTCAAGTATATAATTCGTCCTGCGCAATCCCCACACTTGTACCTTTGTCCTTCAATCGAGTTTGGAAGCTGGCTCCAGGACCTCCAGGGACTGCTTCTGTCCAAGGGCGATGAGCTGGACAGTGCATGGGATCTTCAGGACTGGGCCTTCTCAAGCCCCGATGAGAGCAAGCTTTGGGGAACGGACAGGGCCCGAGGTTTGGTATGGACCATGGCCGAGAGGTCGAGACGAAAGGATTCTTCAGTCTGGAAGAATGGCAAGTGCTGCGCGTTCATTGCGAGAACATCTCCTCGGCTTATGACGCGTCTCTTACATGAGCTGTTGGAAGGATTCCAGGATGCCAAGTTGTGAAAACTAGGTCTTATGTGCAGATGAACCTCAGATGCTTTCCGTTGCCAGGGGCATGTTCAGCATCTTGTGTACATGTACAAAGCGCTTGCCGCCAGGACGCCAAGTTCCAGGAAGGGTACCAGCTGCTTAGGCGAGGTGCGCAGCACAACAACAACAATCACGCATCAATGGTACTCCTGACATTTGAAGTTCAGCAGAAAGTGCTTCCAAAATTCGGCTTCGAAGCCTCGCCGAAAGGAGTTATGGAGATGAGATGGGAAACTGGTTTGCATGCTGATATGGGCGGCGCAAACATGTCCTGTCGGGGTGACAAGGTTGTTGCCAGGCTTCGTCGTGATATCCACTTGTGTTTAGACATGGACGTCAACAAAGCTGATCGTTTGCCAATCTTCCATACAGTGGGTGATAGTCACTCCTGCTTTGGATGGCCAAAGTTTGTCATCCAGCACTGGCAGGGGCCACTTCTTGGTTTCAATGTTCATCGAGTTGACCTCCGAAAGCTTACGCCACCGCTTCGGGAAGGCGATGCCGTGATATTGTGCTTTGGAGAGATTGACTGCAGGTGCCATGTGCACAAGCAGAGATACAAGGACCTTCAGGGCAAGGACCCTCGACCTTACCAAGAAGTGATCGACGACATCATTTCGCGTTATGTTAGCCATTTACGCACGCAGACGAGACCAGGAAACCTGCCAGCTGGAGTCAAGATTTTTGTGTTCAACGTGCCACCACCGGCGCGTGGCTGTGATGTGGCTGAAGTCCCCGAGTTTCCGTTCATTGGTGAAGACTCGGACAGGAAGAACTATGTGCTGCACTTTGTCTGCAAGTACGATGTTCAGTGTGAGAAGGGATGCTGATTCTTGATCCCCAGTAAGTCCAGCCGTGTCAGACAACGCGCTTTCTCTCCACTGCTGTCTACGATCAACGCTGTTTCCCCTCAAAACTGCATGTCAGGCTGCTAGTTCTTTGTTCGGGCCACTAAAGGTGCTGCCGTCTGCATTCTGTTTCATAGATAAATGCTTTTGTATCCTTCCCCAAACGCAGGATCAAACCGAAGTTTGCATCTTTGGGTTTAGGTGAGGTCAAGCCTAAGCCTCTGCTGGATTATTTGCTTAACTTGTCTTTGTCTAACTCCAACATTTGGTTGGGGTTTTTGAGGCGCTAGAGCTCACTTGTGGTGGAAGCATCAAAAGCTCTCCAACTCGCTGAAGTGGACGGAGTCAGAAATTAGGTGGGGCTGCGAATGCGCACAGGCAGGGTGGTGGCTTTTATATCAGTAGCTTCCTGCATTTTTTAAATGGTCCTACAAGGGCTGTGGCTGTCTAAGTGGACAACCGTCAGTGAGGTATTTCAACAAGCGCTTGAAAGTTGAGTGCTCAAAGTACGGCTTTAGATTCTTCGACGTGTACGAGCAGTACGCAGACAGAGATGGGTTCTTGTCGAGCGAATATTCCGACGGAAACGTGCACATCGGCAATGGTATTTGGCTTGACAAGTTTATTGCTGACCTGAACTTGAAGCCATTCCGCTGTTCGCAAATCAACTTGCCTGAGCAGCGCCAGGATTCAAAATGCTTGGAATCTACTTTGTTTGCATCCTGCTGTAGATTCTTCTCAAGCTGGGCAGACTCCAGTTTGGTCAGGTAAGTCATCACGAAACTGAGGCGGTACCCATGGGCGGGAAGTTTGGTCTACACTGCCTTCTCTGGGTCTCATCAGGCCAGAGCTGATATTGCCCAACAGTCCCTCGTTCACAAAGGTTGTTGCACATTTCCCCACGCCCCCTGCTACCGCGGGCTATCCAGCTTTTTCTGTTTGGAGGATGCCATCAAGAAAGGTCTGGAGGTTCCCAGCTGCTTGTCCAGAGCCTGCAAAATCCAGACGTGACCAGCGTGGTTTTGTACTGTTCACACTGCCTCACTAAGCAGCAGGCCAACAAGAAGGAGAATATTTGGGAAGTGCCATACCTTCCCATCGATCCGCAGGTGTGGCAACTAACTAGATTCAATTTGTGCACGCTTGCTGCCCTCCAGGACATAGGCCGACATTACGAGGCAATCATTCGGGTCAACAGCCAGAGTGGTAAGGCGGGATGCAGGAAGATGACTCCTGCTTCAGAGCCGGAATGTCCAGTTTTGACCATGTCCTTCAGGGTGGTATTGCCTACATCCTGGAGCAGGAGTATGGCATTGCGTTGCCCAAGGAGCTTCGCTTACTTCGAGTTACCTTAGGTTCTTCCAAGGCTTTGCATTCACAGCTCCTCCCGGCGTCAATTCTTGTTAGACGGCTAAGGTCAATCGACAAGCTGTAGTCAAATCCAGCCTTCCATCGCAACGTTGCAGACAAAGTTTAACACTTATCACTCTTTCAGCAGAGCCTTGATGTTGTATTATGTGCAACTGCCCATTGGATATCGTGCTGCAGCAGAGAGCTTTGGGCAGGAGAGGATAGTGGTGGTTTGCTAGACTGTTGTCTGTGTCTAGTGCTGTGGATGTGTGGCCTTCCTAGGCCTGTTTTCTAGCCAAGTCTCCAGGAGTGCCAAGCGGAGTTCGCGCAGGTGCAAACGATCTATGCGGTGCATGCGGTGCAGTTGTACCTTGCGAGGTTGTTCAGAAAATTTCTGACAAGACCAGCAAGGACGGTTTGCATGAGAGCAGAAGGGGCAGCCATGATCCTTACACCTGGAGGTTTCCTAAGTGAATGGGCCCGTGGAATTTGGAAGGAGATCTCTGCTCTGCAGATCTACGATGCTTTCAAGCAGACATACGTGGATCCTCAGGACTGCAATTCTAAAGCTTTGCTGCATAAGAGTTTTGCATCGTGGCGAAGTGTCAGGAACCTATGTCGCTGTTGGACTATGACCTGTTTCGCTGCCAAGTTTCAGAGCTCTGAATCTGGGGATGGCAGCTGGACTGGAGGTAATCGTGTCCATGCCAGGTCCACTTCCTCCGCGCAGAAGGAGGATGATGTGACGCTGAAGGCATTCCTAAGCAGCGTTGTATTTGCAATCTTCTCAACTGCGAGATCAAAACTACCAAGATGCGCTTTCGTGCCAAGGCACGGGTTCGAGCGGCTGGCAAGGAGAGCATTTTGCTGTTGATGTGCTGACCTTCAGAGATAAGGAGTGCAGACTCCAAACATCTGAGATTTGCTGCTAGGAGCATGAAATTGTCGGGAAGGCCAAATGGGCACGATGAGATGTTGAAGACTTCAGTCGGAAGCGACAAATCATTTTTTCTATTTGGTTGCTTGGACAAGCCTTGGCATTCAGTTACTGGCGCAATTCTCACGGTGCTTGGAAGGGCAATGGCCCGGTCTCTGCCTTCGTGGCCGGGTTGAACGAGTTCGCTCGGTTCTCAATGGAAACGTCCTGACTTCACAGGGAACGCGTCTGGTCGTTTGGACTTGCTGTGTCATTCCTGGCCCATTATTCTTGGTGATACTCTGGCCTTTCATAAGGTATTTCGACCAAAGGCGCGTGGCACGGAACATGCTTGTGCAGCTCTTGGTAACATTGCATAGATGCCATCTGGGCTTGGGGCAGGGCATGGAGGTCCACCTGTCAGACTATCATTCGGAAGCGTAGCAACCCTGGATTTGCCTCTAGAGGTGAACCGGCATGCGGGGTGTCCTGGCTTGTGCAAGGCGGAGCCAGTGCAAAAACGCAGAAGGGTCTGAAGCCGCTGCTGGGCCGAATTTGTGTCAAGTCTAGAGTCGATCAGTCTCATACTGTGCCGTCGCAAGAGTGGAACATGAGAAGGTTGCATCGGTGAGATGCCAGGTGGTCGCCTCGCAACGTTTCACATTTCGAACCCAATATCAAAGTCTGGACACCAAGGCCGTGGCTTCAGCAAACCAGACTCGTCAAGGCAGAGCCAGATTTGGCGTCGGGCTGCACAGGCGTGTCGAAGCGATGCCTAGTTCTTGAGCTGAATTGCGAGACTGGCAAGCAGGAACACGAACACAGCTGTGCTGAAAGCGGTTGTCAGCGCGTGCTTGCCTTAACGCGTTCCGGTTGGAAGCAGTTCAACACGATGTCACATATAGTAGGCGTGACAGATGAGGTTTGCTAGCAGGCTCATGGAGCATTTGCTGGGCAACTAAGGGTGAACTGTCTCAGTGCCGCTGGTGATGCGAAGCTTTTTGCTTGACCGGCATGACCATCACCGTCCATGAGTCCTAAAACCTACAGCCGACAAACCATCAACAACAGCAGCAACATAGCTGTACAGTGACAGTCCAGCGAACATGTTTGTGCAGGCCTTCCAAAGGACGTACCCTGTACGTCCTAGGGCTAAGGCCTGCGGCATCTCCCTTTGAACCGCCAGCCCTGCCCTATTTAGCAACAGTTATTGTGGCACCGGGTGAGCAAAACGCTCCGCTTGCCACATCTGGCCTGGTTTTCTAGCGTTTCTTCAACTCGTTGCGTCAGTGCAAGAAAACCAGGCGCAGTTTTCGACATCCTCTTGAGAACTCTTGGAACAAATCAGCAAACATCGAGGAAAAAACGGGCATGCACATGGCATCTTTCACTGCAACGTTGATCGCTTTCTTTGGCATCTTCTGCTGGCCCCAGCTGTTGCAAGCGTAGTACAGTTGCCCTGCTTCACCACAGCAAGGTTTCAGGATGAACTATCCCGCAACGTTGATGTTGCAGCAGTATGGCAGGTCTGTATGCCAGTGCTGTTAGTGGTGCATCTTCTCAAACAATGACCGGCGCATGGCTTGCCAACTGCAATTGCAAGACTCCGTGCCACTTGACTGAAGCGTCCATGCGCACAAGCTTCAAAAGCCATGTCTCGTTGTTTTGTCATGCTGATGCCAGGCTGGACGGTGCCCCCATAACAAGATGCCGGGAAAGGCTCTGGACTGCATGGACTGTTTGACGTCTCATGCATGCTTCATAGGGGTGACGTACTGGATATCTTGCGGGCTTCTCCACGCACAGCTGCGTGTTGGGAGTGAGGAATTGTTTTCGCTGACCTCGACTATTCTGGCAGATTTTTGCAAGCTACTTGACATGACCTTACACTCGTGACTCCTGATGCTTCGATGAGCTGGGAGGCGAGCACTGCAAAGGCCTGGCAGCATCACCACAGGGTAGTGGTCCGTAGTCCGTAGGTCAAGTGCCTTGATCTTTCAGGCTGACCCGAATGCATACCGCATCTTCGTGGGAGGGCTTCGCAAGACAACTTTGGAGGACCACTTTCTTGATTGGGATGCTGCCTGAAGGGGACTGCAACGATTCTAGGAGGTCTACCTGGTCTTTACATTCAGCGGTGTGCTCATCCTCTGTGACGGCATGTATTGTTCTGCAGTTCTTGATAGGCAATGCAATGCATGTTGTCAAACACATTTGAGGAAAAGGCCCTCAAAGCTTGAGATACCTTAAGCTGTAACCTGAGCCACTTGTGCTTCCTTCGGGAAAGGGTAAGATTCCACCATCCTGCCAGCACCATTTTAGGCATTGGCAGACCTGGAGGCATGTATGTTAGTAGTGCTGTCCCAGTGCTACCTGGAATCGCTGTTCTGCTCGTAAAGCAGTTGCAGGGGGAAAGGAGGCTCCTTTGTCAATCAGATGCAGCAATCTGGCGGCACGACCTATTTCTCTTAGAAGCACCATACAGTGCTGCCGACTGGAGAAATGCCATAATGAGAATGAAGCTCGCCACATGTTTGGTACACGATGGACTTGGACTTAGTCTTGCAGTGTGGAGGACCGGATCCATGCTCATTTTGCCAGATTTGGCGAAGTCGAGGCTTGCGTGCCTTTTGCTGGATGTTTTGGAGACTGCTTCTTTGATCATGCTTGGCTCCAGGCCGTGGAAATTAAGCGCCAGTGCGGGGCCAAGTGGCGGAAATACTGATTTGAGGACTTCCTCAGCTGGGCTGAAGCAAGGGAGAGTACATTGGGACATGAGATGAAGTCATCTGTCGGTACCTTTTTCAGGCCTGATGGCACATCTCGAGGGTTTGCCTTCGTTCGATTTGCTCAGCTGGAAGCTGTGGAGCGGGCCATCGAGGCCGTTTCACTTCTCCGCTCTTACTGCAGTTTCCATGTCTTTTTCCATTGTCTTTTCCCATAATGGTATGTTCAAAGGCTTCCGCGCTGAAGCTCCAGACTTGGATTCCTCGTGTGCAGGCCCACGCCAAGCACATGATAGACAACAAGTGGGTGGATGTCAAGCGGCATGACAACGATGCCCATTCGGCAGGGCCGGCCATAGCCTCAGTGACAAAATGCAACAGCTTGATTTACCAACGCAGCCTTGGTGTAGTCAACTCCTAGAAGCGCATTCGAGAAGCAGTGAGCCCAAGTCCACAAAGCCTCCTCATGCATATTTCGCGCATGCCCTAATTTGCAGTTCATTGCTTTCTCCAGAGAGCTTCATTTTTGTTCTTGATCACGTTTGAACCATTGCGTACTGTCCAATTTTCCTGCAGTAGACCTGCGTGACGGCTTGTAATGTCCGTGCCCTAGCACCTCCACACCTTACCTTGCAAGAAGCTGCCACAATGCAAAAGCCAAGTGTAGTGATATTCCTGAGGGTTTCGGTATGCATTGTTGACCAGACATGACTGTCATCCATACTTCGAACTGCCGGGCCTGATGGCTCAAGTGGACTTGACCGCGTGACAGGAAAATGGAGGTTCCCTGCGTGCTTGCTGCTTGTCCCTGATGGCTTCAGTTGGTAGCGCGAGCCCTAGTTGCGATATGGCCGCTGGGCTTTACCCAAACTCCGCTTCGCAGGGCATTGGCGCAGCAGCTTTGAATCTTCACCGAGTTCCTGGAATGCCAGCTGAGTTTTCCGACTGGCACGATTGGAGACTTCCAGAGCATGAATCATCTCGAGGAAATTGGGTTTCCTCGTCTATGGAACACCACTGCGCACCACCGCTCTGGACGCACCAATCTTTGGGTGTCTTTGGATGGCCTGGGGCTAGGGCCGATCCATACGCGAGTTCCACTTCTTTTCCCGTGCTCGGCTCCGAGGAGCCGACTCCGCCCGACGGGGCGTCAAGCTCAGCTGCTGCCGCGGCGGCTGCATCTTCAGGCGAGGCAGCGGCGCATCCGACTTCTCCGCCTACAACACGATTAAGTGCAGCGACTTCGGCATCTGGCGGCCTAGGTGCACTTCCCGGAGGAGCTGATCATCTTCAAGGTCTTGGTGATCCTTGGATAGCGGCTGCCAGGGAGCTGGTGAGCTCCACCACTGGTCGACATGGCCAGACCCGGCTTTGGAGATGGGCCGCTGGCACCTTTTCCTGGGTTCCCGGATCTTCGGGAGCCGTGCCATACGACGCCGCTCCAACCTCAGGGAACGCCTGGCTGAACATGGCTTCCCCTCCCGCAGCCGCTTGCTCTTCGGCGCCTTGGGGATCTTCGCTTCCGGCCTTGGGTTCTGCGGCCGACTCTGGATATCCAGCTGGATGGCCTGGCGCATCTTCAACGTTCTACCTGGCCAAGCCCCTTCTTCAGCACCCCTGGCCTGGAGGAGTTCCTCACCTTCAAGCCCGAGAGGTAAGGCGCCTCCGAGACCTCCTCCGATGCTTCATGGGACTCCTGGACTGCCTGATCGTTCTGCCGGACAAGGTTCCGGGACTATGACCGAGGAGCGCTTCCTCCTTGGAATTGGGGACCTCCTAGCTGCTCTTGGCCTACAACAACGGCTACAAGGGCGACTTTACCGAGCCACCCTCCTGGCCCGGATGGCAGTGGACTGCAGCAGCGCGGCGCTGGAACAAGCTCACCGACATCCCGGTGCACCGCCGTGCCGAGAAGGTCCTTCGAGTTCTTGGCTGGGAGCTAAGTGGAGTTCGAGCATCTCACCGAGGCTGAATTGGTCTCCCCGCGCTACCTTGACTGCATCCTCGGGGTCCTCGAGCTCAAGGCCGGCGTCCGCGAGGACGACGAGAATCGCGCGGCCTACCGAGGTGTGATGCAAGATAGTGGAAGGAAGCGGGACGAGACCTTGTCCCAGTTCGTCACTCGTCGACTCCGAGACTTCACTAAGGCGGCAAACTATGGGATCGTCTTGCCGGAAGAGTTCAAGGCCACCATGCTCAGGGAAGGCGCCCGTCTCAGTGATCAAGGGCAGCAGAATCTTACGGCCTTGCTTCAAGGTCACGACCACAACGTGGATCCAGTCGGCGCGGTTCTGGCCCGAATGGACAACCGCTAGGGCCGCGTCCTGGGTTTCAGCACTCACGAGTCTCAACCCTCTACCTTCTTCGAGGAGGACCACTCCGACTCCGGCTCCGGTGAGGACGAGCAGAACGAGGACGAGGACGTGTTGGACGACGAGGCGGTCCTTGCCGAGCTCTCGGACTTGAGCTTTACGGACGAGCAGGCCGCCCTGGTCTTCGCCATCATGGAGAACCGTCCTCCCAAGCGCCGTCGCACCTGGAAGGAAAACAAGCGCTTCAAGGCAGACCTCAAGAAGGATCGTCAGAGCTTCGCTAAGGGCGGCGACTCCGGAAATGCTTCTCGACCAAAGTACTCTCGTGAGCAGCTGAAGAAGATTTCGAAATGCCGTCTTTGCGGTCGCCGGGGTCACTGGGCTGAGGACTGCCGAAACGGCACAAATCGCAATGCTTCCGGAGATGCTGGCAAGATGAATGGCTTCTGCTACCTGGGCGGACCGCTGCAGGCAGCTTCTTCGTCAGCCTTCTGCTCATTTGTGGCATGGCATGGTGCTCCGGATGACACCTCCTGGAACTTCTTGTCCATCCCCTCCGGCATGGCCATTCTCGACATCGGCGCCACCCAGGACATCATCGGGCTGGCCGCCATGAAGTCCCTAGAGGAGGAGCTGGGGCGCAGCGGACTCAAAGCCATTGAGGTTCCTACCTCAACGTCGGCCCCACAGGCGTTGGAGGAGCAGCCAAGGTTTTGAAGACCATGCTCGTGCCGATTTCGCCCGGTGGAGTTCCAGGCGTCGTGCAGTTCGTGGTCATCGATGGGAATGTTCCTCCATTGCTCTCGGTCGGCCTTCTTGAGCACTTGGGAGCCTCTCTCGACCTCATCTCGAATCTGTGATGCGTTGGGTTTGCTCTCGAGGTCTCCAATTTCTGCATGAAGTGCACGATCCTCTGGTCCCAGTTCAGGGATTCAACGAGAAAGGTGAACCCTGTCGCCATTGTCCTGCGGAGAAGACACAGTCTGGTCACTGGAAGGAAAGCTCCAGGGCAGATTGGCGGCGAAGACGTTCTCACCGTTCGCCTTAGGCGTGCGGGTGACTGGTCCATGGCCTTGCAGAGCCAACCACCTGGGACAGCTCCGCAAGGAGGAGCTCGAAGGCGCCTCCGCATAGAAGAATCTTCCTTGCGAGGTTTGCTCTTGCTTGGCTGTCGCGTGGATTTCGTCGAGCTCTTCAACTCCTCTCCGGCGAGCACCCTTCTGCGACAGCGCGGACTGCGAGTTCCTCCTCCTCACGAAGACTTCACTTCTCGAGCTGGTTGGAATGTTCGCGTGGGTGAGCATCGCAAGCGATTTCGGGAGGTACAGTCGCAGTGAACATTTTGTCGGAGCCGTCTTCTGCTGAGCCTCATGCTCAGGTAACGACTGAGGTGACCGTCGGTTTTGCCATGGAGATCTTGGAGAGGAGGATCAGATTGATTGGCACTTTCTGTCGGCTGACTCGGAGGGCGAGGACCTGGCTCTTCGGCTACTCGAACGACAAGATTTCTCCCATGCCTCCTGCCTCAAGCTCCTCAAGACGACCGATTGGCCCTCTAAGCGCACCCGGCGCTGTTGTGTGCAGGAAGCCTCTGGATGCCACCTGCTGGGCCAGTACACTCACGGAAGATTTTCAGGTACTACGCTGGCCACCTTCAAGCTCAAGCACACCACCCGGTACCTGAATGCCTTTATGACCTCTCACGGAGCTGACGGTACACGTTCCTCCTTGGTGGTTGGGCACAATGTTCGCGTCAAGGCTCATCATGATTTGAACAACCTAGGCCTCAGCCACTCGCCCTCGGCAAGTTCTCTGGAGGCAAGCTTTGGACCGAGGAGCCCGATGGGGACTGCGAACAACGTGTTGACTCGATCCGGCCAGGTACTCCGACTCGGACTTCATCGGCGTCACGATAGACTGGTCACCTTCGACGCTCGTCGTTGGCGCGAGGTGGAACCCTGGAGTGGAGATCGCTGGACCATCGCAGTGTTTCAGACCCGGTCGGCCAAGGACTTGGAGCCCCAGCAAGACAGACTTCTGAGAGACTTTGGTTTCCAAGTGGACGGGCGCCCTTCAGCCATGCTGGCCACCGCTCCTCACGCTGAGCTTCTCAGTGCTGCAGTATGGCAAGGCAGTGCTCTCCCATCGTTTGCGAGCTCTGCGTTTCCTTCGACTTCCGTCAACGACATTGATGAGGAGCAGCTTGAGGAGCTAGATGTGGAACCGACAATCGGAGGATCCAGCTCGACTCAACGCGTGACCGAGGCTCAGAAGCTCCTCCTCAAGAAGCTTCACATCAATACCGGGCATCCTCCTCAGGATCGTTTCCTCAAGACGCTCAAGGCTGCTGGTGCCCTTCCCCATGTGCTAAAGTATGTCAGGGACGAGTTCCATTGTGAGGCGTGTGCCACAAAACGTGTTCCCGGCCACCGGCGAAAAGCTCAGTGCCCTCGCGTGTTCTCCTTCAACCGGGTGCTCAGCATGGACGTCTTCTACCTCAACTTCAAAGGCCGAAACGAGGCCTTCCTGAATGTGGTGGACCATGGGACCAATTACCAGATGGCCCAGCGCATTCCTGGCTCTGGCGGCGCTCCAACCTCTGCGTCTACCTGGCACGCCTTCCTGACCACTTGGGTCAGATTTGTCGGTCCTCCGTCGCTCATCGTGACGGACGGGGGGTTGGAACGGCACGGTGGTTGGTTGAAGCAGCGACTATGCCAAGAGCTGGAGTCCGGTCAGGCCATTGTGGAAACCTGGGACGATGTGGACGAAATGCTGTCTTCCCTGGTCTCTGCCAAGAATCGATGGTTCAACTCCGGCGGCTACACTCCCACTCGCCTGGTGTTTGGGGGCTTCCTCGTGTGCCAGGCGAGTTGCTTTCCGACAACTCCTGTGGGCTCCAGACCTTGAGTGATGCCTTTCACGACCCTGCCGGTTTGGACGAGGCTGGGGCTGAGTTTCGACATCGCAACGCCATCCGTGAACGAGCCAAGCAGTTAGCCATGGCCGAGACTAGCAAGGAGGCTATCCATCGGGCAGCGCGCGCATCTTCGACTCCTACAAGGACTTGGTCTGCTGGACAATGGGTGTGCTGTTTTCGAAGGGGTCGATCTGGAGAGAACTTGCGCCCTACCTCCTGCTGGGTCGGTGCCAACTCTGTCGTCTGGGTGGCCATGAGAACTCGACTTTGGCGATGCTCGGGGAGGCCTCAGCTTCATGCTCAGGAATGGGCAAGATCCTGGAAGGTTCGGAAATCTCAGGCTCTTGAGCTGGCTCCTGTGTGGAGCAGCTAGTGGGGCACAGCACCAGGTTCAGGAAGATCTTCTCCTTCAGGTGGTCGCTCCACAGGTAGAAGCTGATCCTGGTCGCCAGGAGGCCCCTCGCAAGTCACGTCGCCCCAGTTTGGCTTCCTGAGATCACTCGTCGCAGCAGGTCCCCAAGCGAAGGATCAGAGGCAAGCTGTCCCTCGTCTGGGTGACGGACCCCGCTCGAGCTCCTGGCACTCCTCTCACGCGTCTTCTTGAAGCGGTGCAGCGTGGAAGGAGTTCATTCGGAACAAGAGACCGATCCTAGCAGCAGCTCGAGTGCTCCCCCCCCGCGGCTTCGAGAACGTTCTCGCTCTCCTGTTCATCGGGAAGGTGACCTTGGTCAGTCTCATCCCGGTGCTCGACCTGCTCAAGATGACGACCTCGTGCTGTTCACAGTCAGCGAGGACGGCAACTACTTCTGTTTTGCTTCTACTCGAGGTGACGAAGTGGACCTGCGCGCGGAGACCGCGGCTGTCCGGAAGCTGTTTGATGAAAGCTCTTGGAGTGGGAGAGCGTCCTCAAGACAAAGGCCGTTCGAGTGATCATTGGCGAGGAAGCTTCCAAGCTCCGGCGTCGCTATCCCGATCGGATACTCAGCTCGAGGATGGTCCGCAGAAGGAAACCCCAGCCTGGGGTTGGGCAATGGAAAGCCAAAAGCCGTTGGTGCGTACATGGTCACTCCGACCCCGACACGGCTGACCTAGTGACGTTCGCACCGACCCCTTCCACCGAAGGGATTATGGCATTCTTACAGATCGGGCTGAATCTTGGACATTGCTTTAACTTCTGCGATGTGAAAAACGCGTTTTGCCAAAGCGATCGGTTGCAGAGACCAAAGGGGCCCATCTTCGCCGAGCCCTGCGAGGGACTTCATCTTCCGGCTGGCGCGCTCATAGCCATCGACGTGCCTATCTACGGCCTTGACGACGCACCAGCAGCTTGGCGACCCACCGTAGTGAGGTTCTTGACTGAGCAGGGCTTCACCAGGAACGTTGTTGAGCCTTGTTGGTGGATGCGCTTCAACTCTGCCGGCGTCAATGAGACCCAGGTGCTCATCGAGGTGGACGACTTCATCGTGAGCGCTCTTCCCGGCGAGCAGGCCAAGGTTCGCGACGCCTTTCAGAAGCGCTTCCATTTTGGCAAATGGGAAGAGTCTGCGGCCAAGTACGCTGGAAGGCAGGTTCAAGTTCTGGAGGATCGGATCACCCTTCAGCAGGAGAAGTACATCCTGGAGCAGCTTCATCCCGTGGCTCTTGCGAAGGGCCGGAGGCTCGAGAAGGACTCAGAGCTCACCCCTGAGGAGTTCCAGGCCTTCCGCTCTGTGATCTACCGGATCAACTGGGTGGCCAAGGAGACCCGCCCCGAGATGAGCGGCTTGGCTTCGATCATGGCCAGCAAGCTCAACTCCGCTACCGTGGAGGATGTGCTGACTGTCAATAAGAACGTCAACTTCCTGAGGAACAGCTTCGAGGCCTCTGACGTTGTGGAAGATGGCTCCCGAGGACCTGGCCTTCGTGGCGATTTCCGATGCCGGAGGCATTGGAACTAAACATGAGTCAGTGGACGAGCTCGGGCTTCCTTCCGACAGCACCCAGGGCGCGTGGATGGTTCTGGCATCTGAGGGTCTCCCTGTCGGCAATCAGCAGGTTCGAGCCAGTCCTTTGGCATGGAGAAGCAGTAAGCTGCGGCGCAAGGTCTTTTCGACGTTCGGTGGGGAAACCCAGTCCATGCTTCAAGCACTGAGCGAGGTCGATTGGCTGCAGATCATGACTCGTGATGCCACTCACCATGATGTTGAGCTTCGAGAATGGCGCAGCTCGATATCCCCTCATATGCTCATTATGAAGTCGGACATCCGTGCTTGCAGCCGACAGCCGCAGTGCTCAGTGACTGATGCAAAGAGCCTGTGTGACAGCTTGCTGAAGGAGCATCCTTCTGGCAAGCAAGATCGCCGCAGCTCCCTCGAACTGGCCATCATCCTGCGAGACCTGCAGGAGACCCGCTCGATGGTGAAGTGGGTGCCGCATCAAAAGATGACCGTAGATGCTCTCACGAAGGCCGACCCCATGAAGGCCAGCGGCGCGACAGATCACTTCTTGAAGACGGGCTTCCTGAGTCTTGTTGACATTCAGCAGGAGCTTGCCCTGAGGGCCTCGGACCTGAAGAACAAGAACCGTAGTAATGCCGCTTCAGTAGCACGACTCCTTCGAGAGTACGAGCAGCAAGGACAGCATTTCTGGTCAACTCTTATTTGGGGGTGCTGTAGTGATATTCCTGAGGGTTTCGGTATGCATTATTGACCTGACATGACTGTCATCCATACTTCGAACTGCCGGGCCTGATGGCTCAAGTGGACTTGACCGCGTGACAGGAAAATGGAGGTTCCCTGCGTGCTTGCTGCTTGTCCCTGATGGCTACACAAGTGTTGCTGAGGCCTTTGGACAGGTCCCAGGAGATGGAAGTTCCACTGGGCTGACAAGTTTTTGAGGTGGTGAGGTGTTGACTTTGGATGGGAGGAGAAAGCAGGTCTTGCCACGGGAGGAGTTGGTCTTTAGGAAAGCGAGGTAGACGGGTTCATGGGGGGAGTACGAAGGGGGGGCGCAAAAATGTCACATCACCATGGTCGGACCAGGCCAAACCTCCGAAATGACCAGAAACCTTGGAAAATAGGATCGATGGATATTAAACTTTTCAGGGAGGTGAAGAGCTGCTTGCTAGTAGGATAACCGCGCCCCAGGCCTCTGGCCTTGGCAGATATTCGGTGGGGTTGTAGGCAAAGATTCTGATCGTGCTACGACGTTTGCGTGCCAGTCTTGTTGACTGCACAAGGCTTCTGCCTACCGAGATGACCGAAAGAAGAAACAGGCAGCGCTGGGGCAAAGGCATCCTTGAGTTCAGCGCCTAAGTCAGAGTGGGGATGAGGTGACCAACGACAAAGATGATGACGCTGACTCCGACGACCACAAGGAACCCTTTCATCAAGGGCCACTCTCTTGGGATACGGGAGTGACTTCAGGAAGGTATTCTCGACGCAAGCCATGGTCCTTTTCTTGAGGCGCCATGTTTGTTTAAAGCGCACAAGTCTGAAACAGCTGTTAGCACTAGAACCAACCACATGCAGGGACCCAGAATCTGTCACACATCTAAAGGAAAATGGTTTCGAGCTTTTGGGTCAGGGGCCTGTTTGGGCTTCGGGAATGGACTATTGGATCGATTTTGAGTACAGAGCTGACCTGCGTGGGCCAACTTTTCATAACCGCACTGTGATCAGAGAGCTTGGGTGCTGCATGAAATTCCAGTGATCAGCAAGGCCTGAGCTGCCAGGCCGCAGTGTTGGAATCGACTGCGCAGAAGTCATGGCAATCCGATCCGGTTGCCCTGTCCACTTCGGCTGTGCAATGCAGCTCCATCTCACGTCTTCTAAACCAACACTCTTCGAGCGTAAAAGTACTTCCAAATGTGCCGACACGTCAGTTGGGGCAGGCCCTTCTTTGACCTTACTAAGTTCATATTGTTCGAAAGGCTTTAGGTGACTGACGCTGCAGAGTCTTGCTCCAAACAGGACAGCAATTTCTTCGGAACAGTTAGGAACCTGGGGCGCGCATCTAGACTGACTGAGAATTTGTGCAGCTTCGCCCTTGCCTCTCGCATTTTGTGCTCCTTGGAGTTAATTCCTTTCTCTTCCCTACTGGCAGACAAGCCGCCAACAGTCCCTTTCCCTTCACAGGCTGCGCATTCGATGCTGGCGAAGTCGATGAGAAATGCTGTGGGAAAGCAAGCTCCTTAGCTTTGCTTGCCTCCCACAGCTTCTGGCAAATGGCAAAACTAACATCAATAACTGGCCGTGGAAAGATGGCCAGAAATACAGCTCCGTCGCATGCTGAGGGCTGACAGCGAAGATAAAAACGAGAAGGATGAGGATTCTGCATCAGCAATGCGCGGCTTGGCAGCGACAAGCTGATGTGGCAGGCCCCAGCAAAGGGTGTTTCGCGCCATGTCAGGCATGAATCCGGCCATGATGATGGGGATGATGAGTATGCCGGGCTCTGTGTTTTCCATAGACTGAACTCGACAATAGACCTTGTGTGTAGGCGACAGACAGCAGCCAACTCGTGCATTCAGTGGTCTGAGGATGAATCCTATGATGATGGCGACAATGAACCCTATGATGGAACGCCTGGCAAGTTTTCTTGGTACCATGATGTGGTAAAGATAGGTAAAGATGCGTCGAATGATGCAGGCCGTGAACACGAATACGATGGGGCAGTCACGTTCAGACGGTTGTCCCCTCAGATGTGTGGCTGGATGCTTCAAAGTACTGGTGGTGCGAATGACGCTGCTACAAGGAAATGGTGGAATGGGGCAGTCCAAAGGTGGATCAGCCTGTGGTGGTATGGCCGGCAACCTGGGTGCTCTGCAAGCTGGTGGCATGGGTGGCAAAGCTTGTGTGGGCAGCTGCAGTGGCTGTGGTGGGTGCGGTAGTTGTGGTGGCTTTGGTGGCTGCCCTGGCTGCGCTGGGTGCTCCGGCTGCTGTGGCTGTGGTGGGTGTGGCAGTTGTGGCGGCTGTGGTGGCTGCAGTGGGTGTGGTTGCTGTGGCGGTGCCACCGGCTGCGGTTGTTGCGGAGGATGCCCAGGCGTGTGCGGAGGCTGCGGCTGTGGTGGCTGTGGCTGCGGTGGCTGTGGCTGTGGTGGCTGTGGTGGCTGTGGCTGCGGTGGCTGTGCCGCTGGCTGCGGAGGATGCTACAGTGCCAGCCTCAGCTGTCTCTGTCGTACTCTGGGCTTTCGCTTGTAATTGTAGCATGTCCCTTCCGCATCTCAAAAGTCAGCCTCCATGCTATGATTGATAGGTTTGCACGTGCCCTAGAGGATGGCAGTCACATTGTGGAACAGGTAGTGCGCAAAGAATGCAACCGCAGATTTAGCGACACGAAGGCTGCTAATCAGCACAACTAGAAAATCGCGCAAGGCTGTGCCTTACGTCGTGAAGCCTTGTGCAGAGTCTTTCCAAGGGCAAATATATGGGGACTTTATTTAATGTAACATATGTGCTTGCGGCGGCCGCATTCACTTGCAGTTTGGCATTCATTCGCGACAGTGACCATTATGGCAAAGCTGGTTCAGAGGGTAAGCTTTCAGTCATTTGTCCCGGTGCGGTCTCGAACATTGCATGTCAGATGTCGTTGTGTTGTTAGTGAGCTGCACGAGATTGCGCGACTATCTGGCATTTCGGGATAGAAGGCATGGTTTCACGCGCAACTTGGTGTGACTTATCCCTCCCGTGCATACCATGCATGAACAGTCTTGGCAAATTCTGCAGAACGCTAGGCGTGGCTGTTTGAAACATGTAGTTAACAAACGGATTGCTGTCGCGTGTTGTGCATGAGACTGTTTCTTGAACGGTTTAGATGCCATATGATGCCATGCTGGTATCCACGTCCCCTCGCCGTTGTAGTGTAGAACATGTAGTTGCAACAAGACCAGCTGTTAGCGTGTCGTATGACATCCTGACGTGGAAGGACAGTTTGAGACCAGCATAGACTTTCAGCATACCAAAGAGATTTCTTCTGCACAGTTTGCAGTAAAACGCTACCTCCAAGTAGAGTTTGGCATCCTATACTACTGCATGCGAAGCTTCTTCGGGGTCGGACCTCGCCACTGACAACTACATCAGTCCTGAGTTTGAGATGGTTTGAGAAGAAAGTGGGAGAGTGGTAGTGTGAATTTGTACCTGGCTGAGAGGTAGGTTTGGAGTGTAGGACAGTACGTAAGATCTGTCACTTTCATAAATCATGTCCACTGGCTTCAGAAATCGTGAAATGGCGTTGACCTGGCAGCGCTGAAGTCTGAAAGAAGTAATTCCGTTTCTATGTGCCTAAGCAGCAGCATGTAGGTAAGAGGGTCTTTATTTTTCTTTTCAGTCAGACCTTCGATATTCCACAGGGTTTGGCATCTTGTAGGCCGCGCGAAAATTCTACTATTATGCTTGTCTTGTGACCACGTGCGAATGCTGTGACTCAAACCCTCAATGACCTTGTCCAGTGAAGTGCTGTGCAGCGCACCGCACGCCATGACTCTCCACAGCTCGGAGTAGTCCGTGCAAAATCCGACGTGTCGCCGCATTACAGGTGTCCTTAACAGGCCTCTCGACTCTCCAGTGCAAGTGACAATTCTTGTGGTGATGCAAAACATGCAACGAGCCAATACGCCTTGAGGGATCGGCTATGTTTGGGTTGACATCGTGCTGATTGGGGTGGCTTCCTGCTTGGAGGGCTTGAGCTGACTTTACACCATTTGAGGTAACATATTATGCCTACTGGCCCAGCGTATTTCTTCTTGTCGCAGCATGGTGTTTGAACGGCCTCATGTCCCTCTGGTCCCGTGCATTCGTCAAGTTTCATGTGTTCCAAACTAAGCCGGTGCAACTCAGAATTCCACGGAGCAAGGCTTGGCATGAAGCCCATTTCTTCTATCCCTGAACCTAAGGCTGCAACCCCTGTGGCAGCTGCGGATTCGGTGGGTGTCCTGGCAATGGCTGTGGCAGCTGTGGAATCCCCAGTGTCCCCAAATGTGGCGGCATATGCCCCTGCAGCATTTCAATTCCAGAGCTTTTGCGATGAAGGCCATGCTGGCCCCAGCGGCCCTGGCTGCGGTACGTCTTGCTCTTACTGTGCCAGTGATGTCACACAATGTGTAAGAGCGAGATAGAGCGAGGCTCTTGGGGTGGCAGGCGTGTCTGTGTCCGCGTGCATGAGCGCAAATCAACGCCCAGATAACCTTGCAGGTTCCCACACGTATGTGTGTGTGCAAGCAGATACTTCCCGGGCCGAAATTGCCCTCATCACAGAATTGCAGGCTCTCCACAGTCTCCACGCACTGGCTGAGTAACTTGAGCGAAGTGCCAGTGAAAGCTGTCCTCAACTGATCCGTCACCTGTAAGCATTGCGCAGCAACTCCAGAGCCAACATTTGATCGCGCTATTGAGCCATCATGTGGATACCAGTTTGAGAGAAGGGGAGAGACGTACCTGTACGTGAAGACTGTCATTGGCAAAAAAGGGCCGCATCAACTTATGAGTGTTGACGATTTCTAACAAGAGCACTTTGGAAGTTGAAGCAAATTGAAGCAACTTAATGTCGTGGTCAACCCGACTGAACATGTCAGCAGCATCGGCAGAGCTTCCGATAGCAAGCAGAAATTGAGAAAGCTGAAATAGTAAGCGCAGCTTCGGAGTCAGGCTTTGTGCTAAGCTTCCAATTTATCTTTGCTGCTTGCCCAGGTCAAATCCTTCCAACGGCTGCGGGCCCCTCACAGCGAAACCTTGTTCCGGTAGATCAGGGCCATACTGATCGTCATGCCTACGCAAAGTGAGAGCTGTGAGAGCGGTGAGAGCCGTGGACGACATGGCATCCAATAAGCTGGTGATTGCAGAGTCTGCATGGACATGCTGGTCACGGAACATCTTCGCAACGCACCATGGATGGGATCGATCACGATGGTCGGGATCATGGATGTGGCTGAGCGGCGCGGTGATTCTGAAGCTTGCGCAAGTGTACATGAAGCGAAGAGCAAAGAGAACGTCAGCGCCCAAGAGCGTGCAGAAGTGCGGCTGAAAGCAGACAGCGCATCCTACAACATACTCTGTGATTATAGATTGCTCGCGTCTCTTGCCTTCGAAGCCGTATCCAGTGTAGGCCCACATAGGCCCACCTCAGGTGTATAATCAATCAAGGAACTGCGGGCACAGCCTCGCTGGCTTTCTTGCAGTTTTTGATTGTCGCAAGTAATGTAGACCCCTGATTAATAAACCCCCCTCCCCTCAACTGGTAATATTTAGGCCCCGGGTCTACACTAGGCTCAAGAGGAGCTGAGCTGAACAGCCAGGCCTTGCGCCAAAGCACACATCATGAAGCTAAAGCAACTGGTTTGCGAATCAAAGGTTCAGACAGTAGGTGCCAACCAGGAGAGTTGAATCCTTAGGGCCAAGGATTCACAGGGAATGAGCAGTATTTTCATTGGGGATACTATGCTACCCCACATAATCGATGTAGAGTAAGATCATATCCTCCTTTGGGGTACAGTGTTTTTCATACAGAATATAATCTTACTTGGTTCAACCAGCATGGAAAGCTACTGGAGTTAAGACCGGTCTGTTGCCAAAATAAGAAGCACGTGCATGTCAACCCCTGCATATCATGTCACTAGACAAGATGAGACCGTTTTTGCGCATGGGGCTTCAGCAGATCCCGCGTGGTGTTCGACTGCCCCTGCTCTTTCGCGAGCATGTCATCATCAGGTGCCGGGAGAGTGGCGAACGTTTGACCAACACAGTTCTACATAAGTTCAATGTAGTCGAAAAGACTAAGCGTGTTGGCTGATTCTGGTTTCTTTTGTGACACTTGTAGGCCAACTAGAGTACAGATTGATTGATTGGTTGATTGATTGATTGATTGATTGATTGACTGACCGTTTGGTTGACTGATTGGTTGATTAAGTGATTGATTGATAGTGACCCTGTTTGGGTGGGGTAAGGGCAGGCTTTACTGGAGATTGGGGAAAGCACGTTGACCAGTTGGTACCATTGGCAGAGTATCATGACGGTTCTGCCAACTGTCAGATCAACGTCAACTCACATGCCGCACTATGTATGTTGCTACCAGATGGGCCGACTGCCATACTTGCCAGGCCACAGCAGCGATTGTTTGCAGTGAGCCTGCAGGAGCTTGGTTGGTCTGTACAGAAACCTCACATGCGTAGTCTTCCGACAGAAACTCATGCGCGGGCGGGCAGGGTGCATGTCTGTGTCGAACCTGTTCTTGCAAGACGTGCCTGTAGGAGGCAAGGCGCCGTGAGCAACAAGCGTCAGAATCTGCGCAAGCCCGCGGTGCAACATCAGTCAGCACGCACACTGCAACCCGGCACCTTCAGATTAGGACGCCAGTGCTTCGATACTTTGTTTTCTGGAAGGTCTGGGTTGTCTTGCAACAGTCATGCTGCAGCCTCCTGAGCATGCACCTAGGTTGACACAGGCTTTTCCGTGGTGTTCGGCCTGTTTATTGCCTGCTGGTACTTTGCAACTCGCCAGATCGGACCATGATACATGTGCACGCTACGTTGACGAGCTGATCAGCGAACAGGGCTGGGCTACCCTTGGAAAACCTAACCAACCCACTAAGATTTCCAGCACTGCTGCATATGCACACCAAGCACACTGAGAAGGCTTGTCAAAATCGTGTAACTAAGGACTGGTTTGCAGTGAGGGAGCAGACGCCTGTAGAGCGCCTCACTTCGTGGCTGCGATCCCGACAGGCTCGAATCGCTTGTTGTTGTGCTTCCTGCTGAAGAGCAAGTTCAAAGCAACCGAGCGGAACACTTGCAAGCATAGAGCATAGATAACTAAACAGTGTGAAGTCTGTGCTTCTGCCAATCGTTACAGGTCGCTGTCGTGCCTTGGCTGACTTATGTTTTGCGCGCGAGTGACCGCAATCAAGCTTGATGCGCTGTGAACACTGGACCTAATGTGCTCATGAAGGGTGATATGAGGTTGTTTTCGAGCTGGATAACGTCATGTGTTGCAGGCCTTGGCATTGCCGCAGCAAGTACCATACGGCAGAAGTTTGTAGGGTTCGCATCTTGGCTTCCTGCGGAGATAAGATATGACAGGTCACGGGGCAGAAACGGCGTGTCGCCTTTTCAGCTAGAGGACAGCAGCGTGGCCTTTTGCTAAGCAAAGCTTTCGGAAGCTTCAGAATACCTGCTTACAAGCAGGAGCACTCGTGGCTTGCCTTTCAGAAATTTCTTGAAAAAGGACTATTTCGCAGGCGTGAGCCAAGAGTTTGCCGAAGCTGCAGCTGCGTTGGCGCGGCGAGGCTTCTTCATGTCTGCAGCCTCTGCCCCAGTACGGGTTTGCCACTGCTGCTAGCAGAGACAGCCGCGTCAGTCAGGTGGTTCGTGATGTCGATCCCCGGCGCTAGGGTCTTACCTGTCAAGTGATCTTGGCCTATGTTGTGCTTGTTGGGTGAGCCAGGAAGCGAGCCTGAAATTCGTGCCGAAAGTGCTGAATCCACACGATGGTGGAGGGGCTCCAAGGTCGTCAAAAGGGTTTTGAACAAGTTGGCCACACTTTGGAATTCTGCTGCAGGCCAAGCAGCCGGAGTTCGTTGATGGTCTGCATTCTCAGCATTGTCTGACACGGACACTTAGTATCGTGAGTTGAGAGGTTGCTAGGAGCCCCTGGCTCGGTTCTGGTTTACCCAGGGGGCGAAAGTTCTAGGTCTTGCCGGTGTTGGAGTTTGCTTCTGTTCAAGATGCTCTGGGTCTAAGAGCGTTCGCGCCGTATGAACCTCTACCATCGTTAACTGGATTGTTCTAAACTACAAGAAGCAGAGTTTTCTTAAGCAAGGCAGACGCTTGAAGAAGCTGACACGGCAGCAATATTTTCCAACATGTCTAAAGAGGCTGAACGGGGCGCAGCCCGGACCCCCCGACACTGGCTAAAGTCTAATCTGGCTACTTTCGCAGCACAGCCTCCCCTTGTCTAAAAGTAGCCAGTTTAGCCAGCTTGAGGGCCGAGCCTAGAAACAATTACAAACTGCCTAAGATGGATGAATTCTCTACATTTCATGGAGAGAGTGTCTCCAGTTTAGTCCGTTGAGCCAGTCTAACCAGTTTGGGGGTCTTTGTTTGCAATGGCAGGAGCCCATACAGTAGGCCTGAAGTTCTTCAAGTGTTCGAGAGTCCCTCTGAACAATTTGGCGTGCAGTGCTTGCAGAGTCTTTCAAAACGGTGCCAAGCACAGAAGCAAACATTATTAGCTTCAGTTTGATGAATGTCCACATCATTTGGTTTGGCTCGAAAGAAGCTCAACCCAGCTTTGTCCAATTTTCTGATCTTGCCTCAGGCGCTGAGCTAGCCCGAAAGCTCATTGCAAGCCGTTGTCCTGAAGCTCTCTCCAGCTTCAAGGCCACTGAATGAATAAACGTGACACCTTGCCATTTCTGTCAAGCCAGGTTTTCACGACTGTTGGCGGCAGCGCCCCATCAAAGGCATCGTGTTGCTAGTCAGATCTTCATAGTTGCACATTGCATGTTGGGTTCCCATGCACCTGAGGAGGCGCGACCGAAGGACAGCACTGGATCAGCGTCCAGCCATGGTCCGAGCTGAGCAAGATTCTCGCTGCTTGCACGGCTTCCTGTCACAAGCAAACGACCCTTCTAGCCCAAGGCATGGATGAGTGCATCCAGCAAATTGCCAAGGAGCATAGGATTTCTGCATGGTGCTCAAAGGATCTCTTCTCTGACAGCTGCACAAGTGCTGCATACAAGCTCATGAGCTCATGAATCTTCCTTCAGTGTTTATGCGAGGCCCGCCGTGTGGTCCTTTTCACGGCCCCTTGGTGCAAGCAAGGCAAGCTGTCAGAGATACGCTCTGTGAGTTTTCCTTTCAGGCTTCGAAAGACCTGGTTCGTGACGGGGCCGATGAGAGCTGGACCGCCATCCATGTGCCCAACTCGGCAGAAGGCGTGGTGGTTTACCTATACGCTGTGTTGTTATGCAACTGGAGCCGTCTCGGCACAGGCTTTCGTTTCGATGATGTCCAGTTGCCGAGCAACAGCGATTCAGGCTTGAGTTGGAGCTAAACCTCATGACTGGTAGTGCTTTCGAGGGCTGTGCACGCAGTCGTCTGACAAAGCCATTCGATTTTGATGGACACAGGAGCATCCATTCCCGTCAGGTTTCCAGCTGTTTTGTACCACCTCACGTGCATCATTCTGGCAGAACAGACGCTGAGTAATGTTTGAATCATCTTGGATCCGTGCCAGCGACTAATGCTGTTCAGGCTTGTTCCAGCTACCCGAGGTCATGCTGAAACAGGCACACTTGGGATGCTTGTTCGTCAGGATTTGCACAAAGAAGGCTAGCATGATAAGGAGGATCATCGTGAAGATCATTCCCTGCGAAACATGCCCGGCCTTTGAAAAGAGAGGTGCTGAGCTTGCTGCGGCTGGGCTGAGCAGTTTTCAAGATAGCTGATGTAGGAGCTTGACAGGCGTAAGGAGTGCTCCTGGACTCCTCAGTGCACAAAGTGGCCGCACGCCCTCGTCCTGGCACAGCTGGAAAAGAAAAGTTACAGTCGAACGCCGCGCTATTAACGCCCATTGCGAGATGCGGCTTGGACTTCGGCATGCTGCCGCTGTTCGGTTCAGTGCTGCAATCCTGGCACATAAGCCCTTGCACAAGTACGGCAAGATATTCAAAGAGATTCGTTCAGCCATTTTGAGATTGCTAGCTAATGCTACCTGCTTCAACGATATCAAACTTATCCGGAGCTTTTCATGGCCGTCAGCCATCAGCGCACGCCGCAGAATCGTGCCTCTGTTCACATCATATGCCAGCCACGACCCAAGTTTGTGTGCATGGCTGCGAGGGGTTCAGGAGGTTGCTGCATGTGAGTCCTAGCTAAGGCCTCTAACGCCACAGTCGAATCGTGTGAAGTACGCTGCGCCGCGCAGCATGAGACTCAGACTTTGTCGCAATGGTATAAATTTGCAGACACCGGTGGCACGACCTGCAGGTCCTTCTCCAGCCCGAAACCAGTCGCAGCAAAACTCTGTGTTACTTGGTTCCAATTCATTCAGAGCTACGTTGTGCCTGTTGCTTTCAAATGCTTGCAACCTCGACGGCGAAGTTGAGGTTCTGGTGCCAGGTATTACAGCAAGCGGAATTCATGTGGCAAGAGGGTGCAAGCCCTCGGCCACAAATGCATATGGATAACATTGGATTCAGATTATACAGCCCGCACGCATGGCAAACTTCAAGCCACTCTCGAGCACCAACGCCTACTCGATCGCCTAGGAGCCAAAGTGCCACCGGACTTCCCAGAGGAGCTTTCCAGGCAACATGCCAGCGAGGGGCGCCACGCATGAGAGCGGAAGTCACTGCAAACGCCTTCAGTGCAACTTCTGCGAGGTCAGTCTCGCCATCGCCAGCAGCGCCATTGCACTGTGTTGCACCATCAAGCTACCCACCCAAGCCAAGGCAGACTGTGGAGCCAGCCACACGGTCCCCGTCTCCCTTGCAACGAGCCGGACAGCAGGCCATCCAAAGCCTAACCCCGCAGCAGCGGTTGCTGTGCCAGCGCCAGGCGCAGCAGACTTTGAATGCACACCTGTCTTTGCGGCTGAAGGAGGTGAATGCGAAGACGGCAAGGAAATCTCCCCCTCCTCGGAGCGCATCTTGTGGTCCTAAATGCGGAAGCCCACATCAGCCTAGGATGGCTTCGCAACGATGTCAGTCTATTCCGATCTTACACCAGAGGTCTATGTCTGCTCCAGAGATACGCCAGAGTGGCACGAAGGTTTCAACACCAAAGTGTTCTGCTCATGACCAAGCCCGCGTTGTTCAGGTCGGTCCTCTGATTCGGTTGCCAAGCCCTGTCCCAACGTGCGTTCAGCCTCGAACATGTTCCCCTGTGCCGAGTGGGCTGAGCGTCAACAAGGCTCCACCCATTTCTGACAGACCCATAGGGCAGGCAGCTCCGAGAGGCTGTGACAGGGAGTCGCCAAGGCAAGGCCGCAAAGTGGTTTGCCCCAATGTGGCCACTGTTCGGAATACGCATCAGAGGCCACCTGCCCCCGTCTGCACTCCGATCTCAAGGTCGCCTCCGCCGAGGAGACACGGCACCCAGAACCAGCGCACAGCCAAAGTGCAGCCCAGCCCGTGCAAAGCCCAGGTTCTCATAACCACAAGCCGAAGCCTTCCATTTGGCAGTCCGGAAGTACAGCCAAGCGAGATCCAAAGAAAAACGCTTATTGGCTCGGGGAGCTTTGGCTCTGTTTGGAAGGCATGCTGTCGTGGGCGGGAAGTTGCGGTCAAGATATGTCAACAGACCAGCCCTAGTGAAAGGCGGGTCACACTTCAGGAGCTGGACTTTCTCAGGAACTTGAATCATCCGCGACTCGTATCGTTTTTGGGATTTGCTCAGACTTCAGACCAATTGTTTTTTGTGATGGAGCTGATGGCTGGCGGTAGCCTGTCGGATCTCCTGTTCTGCAAAAGGCTAGTGCTGAGCTTCAGGCAGAAAGCTCTGATGGGATCACAGATTGCAGAAGGCCTTTCGTATTTGCACGAGAGGCATGTAATCCATCGGGATTTGAAGACCATGAATGTGGTTCTGGACGGCTCGTTGAACTGTAAAATCTGCGATTTTGGTTTGACCCTGTGCCTGGACCATTCCCATGTGACCGTGTGTGGGCTGCAAGGCTCTCCAAGGTACATGGCACCCGAGCAGTTGGAGACCGAGGTTCCTGTTCGAATATCAGAGAAGGTGGACATTTGGCAAATGGGATGCGTGATGCTGGAGCTCTTTTGCGGGGTGGTGCCGTTCAGTGGCCTCAGCAATGTTGCGGCAATCATCTCAGAGGAGAGGGTTCGAAGCACCTCCTTTTGTAACTTTGCACATGGAGCATGTGTCTTCAATCTATAACTTATCAACCCTGAGTTGATCATCAAGAAGAAGGGCCCTGCAATTCCTGATGATGCTGATCCCCGTGCACGCGCGCTGATGACGCCTTGTTTGCGAATGAGGCCCTTTTTCGCTGCGCATGTTCCTGTTTGGCTTGCCTCCAAGTCTTGAAATGCTTCATGCGTGGGGCTGCCGCAGTCCACGTTCTCGACCAACAGCAGACACCCTGCAACATGGCTGCACCTACATGTTGGATCTGTTGCATCACTTCAAGGCCACACGTTTCACCGCTACTGCTTCAAATGTTGGGCCATGGACTCGAAGTAGCATAAGTAGGTTGGAGGACTCCGGCCGTGGTGCAGACACGCCTCATGCATCATGGCTGTTCTCGGCACAGCTTCGCTCCATATTGCAAGGCTGGATGTCTTGGCCCGGGTCGTGAAGAACCGTAGCACGGATGCGGTGAAATAATGCCGCCTGTTCGGCATCGGGAATTTAGTATTTAGTGTGATCTACAGAAATCGACCTTCCTCAGTGTGAGTTCTGGGAATTGGCTCAACTGCATGTGTACAGTCGCAACCTGCCTGATGCGTCGCGGAGCAGGATGAGTTGAAGGCTTTGGCTGCTTGACATCAGCTGCCGTAATGGCTGGTTAGTTACTGCACGTTGATTTGTTAGAAAGAGCAGAAAAGTGACAAGGAAGCTGACATGGGATGGTTGCCATGCTTTTCTGCAGAGCTAGTGTAGCGACCGTCGACATATTTCCGAGAGTCCCAGCATGCCGGAAAGGTGTTCTATGGAGGTCACGAGTAAGGGTGGCTTGGTAAGCGTGTGGGTGAGAGGTCCCCTGCACTGCCCATGTGTATGCATGAAGCGATACCAATACGGAAGCCATAAGCCATTTGAGGGAAGGCGAGCAACGGATGTTGGAGAAGAAGCGTCATCGTTACCAGATGGGGAACCGGTGTGAACATAGTTTCACGTAAAGCCATTGGCTTCCACACCAACTGAGAGAATCTGATTCTGCAGACATGTGCAGGCAACGAGCAGTGACGGGCATCTACGAAAGTTTTTTAAACTTGCGAGACTTGCATCAATCAGTCATGTCCGATGCCAATCAGCAACTTGTGAAGCGGAAGCGGGAGATTCACAATTGCGCTTGCCTGAGCAAAACCTCTCAACCTCCACGGCGCATGAAGAGGCTTGCAGAGGCATGTGTGTCTTGTGTGGGCGAGCTTTGTGATGATCATGTCATGCTGAGGCTTCAACTTGTTTGCCATTCCACCACTGGTACTCCTCACAGGCAGTTTGAAGCTTTGACAAAGCTCGCCCACACCTTGCTTTGTCAGGTTGGTCACTGGCAAAACCGTCGCCGTTGGCACACAAAACCTTGTCATGGAGTGTGGGGGGCCCAGACAAAGGAGAGAATCAGAGCCAGACAAGCCAACAGGTGAAAGAGCCCAGCTTGCAGGTCTTGTGTTACACAATCTTGGACACGGTGTGCAACCTGCTAGTGCTTGGCTTACGGCCTGCGAGGGCATCACAATGGAGTATGTGGACCGTATCGGACCGTGCCGCAAAGGTACCCGAGTGCCAGCCGTCCAGAAGTCGATGGGATCAAGCCTTAGATAATCAAGAGCACGTAAGCGCGGCCTTCGCAGACTGACCCCTCTGCATCGAGGCTAGCATTTTGCTGCACCACGCGGCTGACGGCTTGTTTGAAAATGTATTGTTTCCAATTTTTAAGCCTCAACTTTCAATGCCGCAAGTGTTGCAGGTGACCTCTGCATGGCTTGTGTGTTTTCCCATTTGCCATGAAGACTTCGCGCACCTGACAGCATATTGTGTCTTGGATGCACACAGAAGCAAACATATGCTGCCATGGGCATTAGCACATAAACAGCCAGGTACCGCTGTTGAGCTCAACACAATGTTCTTTGCCATCTATAAGGCAGTTCTGATGCCTGTGCGGTCCTGTGGATGACCCTTTTGCTGCAGGCATTCAAATGGCCGGCTGCTCATGTGGCACACATGTCTACATGGGCCAGAGGCTTATATTCGCCAAATTGTCAGCTGGCACAGCTTTGATTCGTGCATGTCCAGGTTCTTTTCAGACTCTGCTGGTATCCATACCTCGTGCCCATGGCTTATGGTTGGCCTGGGAAGAGCTGAAAGCAGAACAGAATGGTGCTGATACTTTTACGCAGCCTCAGCATAAGAGAAGGTCCTGTATGTAAGTTATGAAGAAATGTGGAGGAATGTTGCGAGGAGCTCACGCCCGTGCCCCCAGGCATCACTTTCACCACGCAATTTCTTCGGGTGGCTTTGCGGCCAGCCGCTGAGAGCTGATGTTGGAACTGGTCACCGTAGATGGAGCTTTCCGGGGCAAGGCTAGGCGGCTAGTGTAACGGCCTATCCGCACGGAAGGCAGGCACCTCCCAAGCTTGAGTTTTTCAGTTTGTTGGTGGCTGCGTGGAAGCCTTGCAAAGGTCGGCAGCTATGAGTACTGTCAGTCCGCGGGTACCTGAGCCTGAGACAGCCAGATTCCAGGAAAGCATGTTTCCACACGCAGGGAAAACCTGTTCAAGGTTGGATCACAAGTGATCCTGTGCGGTTTAAACTTCTACTGGACGACGGAGGCGTGGCAAAGCTCAGAGTCCTTCGCTTGAGTCAGTTTGGTGCCTGGCAGTCGGCAGCAAGTGCCGATGCGTTTGCCTCGTATCATACACTCAAGTCTGTGCAGACTGGTAAGATGCCGGACCAACAACTAGGAACCATGTTGGGCAGTTGGGCAAGGTTGTAAAACGCTGCAAACGTACAGCCCCTGGATGATGTCGCAGGGTGCGGGGTTTCTCCAAACTGTAAAAAGGCAATTCTGTTTGCTCTCTTCCAACATCACTCCGAACACTCGTGTTTCACAACAACGCTCCGACACTCTGGCCCAGAGTGGCACAGGGCGGGGAGGGGAAGAGATGATGATACCGGCTGTGTTGGGTAAGGAACACAGGAGCATCATGGAGCATCACATCTCCATAGCTGCTTGTATGCCAGATGGACCTGCATCTTGCTTGCTTTCTGCATCCCTGCTCTTTGACATTTGGGAGGTTGCTTTGGGCATGTCAGCTGCTGAGACAGATTTGAATGCATGGGCTGACCCACCCCCTTCGAACCCAGTACAGGGGGTCTTGCATTTGTGTTCGGCTGCATAGATTCTTGTCAGTGTTTGAGCTTGATTCTGTGTGGTTGGCCCAGGATGCGGGGGAAGCAGCCTGCGGACCGTCTTCACCAAGCATGAGTCTGTACTAGCAGTATTGGCACTGCCAGAAAAGTTCAGGACATTCTTGCTGCAAGCGGCGCTTATCCTTGTTCGTAAGCAGCAATTGCAAATCTCAAGGGCGTCCCTGACATGTTGGCTCGGGAGGGGTGCAGGAGTCAGAATGGGTGCAGGAGTTCTCATGAGGCCATGACTATCGGACCAAGGAGTATAAAAAAAAGGAATGGTCCTCTCAGTGTATTTATCGAGGTTCTAGAGTTTAGAGCATCTCCGGCGATTGCCGCAATGCCCCTGACGAAAACCAGCTCAGAGCCTATCCTGAGCGCACTTCCGCGTCGCAAGGAGATTCGGAGGCGTCGCTACTTGTAAGGCTATGTGCAAAGTTTTGTCTGCTCTCCATCCACTGCTGACAAGGCTGATGGTCAATCCGCCTGAGCGCTCCACCACGCAACTGATAGCTGAGCCCCTGGCCACGCAATCGACAGATCCTTTGATGGCCAGTGTGGCGCGAACTGCGATGCTGAAGGCGCTGAGTCTTGCGACATCTTGCGACGCTCTACCCTTTTCCTTATGACTAAAATCATCCTCCACCCCCTGTGCAGGCAAGACAAGAGCAAGTCCGGCCTGCAACTGCGCACGGCAAGTATTGGTGGAACCAGAAGGAGAGGAAGGTGAACTGCTGGCGCTAGTGGCAAAGTCACCAAGCACTGGCACCCAAGCTTTCTGGAGCAGCCACAGTTTGGATACAACTCGAGCGCTCTAGACTCTAAACTTAGACGACCACTCGTTGACGGCTTGCCGCTCCTTGGTGCATGCTGATGCATCCTGAGCAAGATTTCAGAAGCGGACCTGGTCTTGCCGAAGGCAAGTGGACCCGACCGTAAGACTAATCGCCAGAGAGCCAAAAAATCAGCTTCAGAGCCGCAGTCCGTAATTGCGTAATTGTCCTAGAGCTCCAGGCTCCAGAGCCTTCGTGGGTACATTGCAAGTTTCGAACAAACATTTTGCAAGTATGTCGCATTCTGGCAGCTTTCTGGCTCCCCCACCCAGCCCGAATAGGTCACATCAGCATTGTGGACCCAACTTGGTAACGGCTTGTAAGACTTCACACGGCCGATATGCGCAGAACAGCTGATGGTTTCAAGCAGATACTGTAATAGACTGACATGGCCATAGACCCTCCGTCATAGAGATATGGCAGTCGAGGACGCGAGTCTTGCAGTTATCAGAACTTTGCTTGCTTCAACGCGAAAGATCAGTCGGTGCCGTCAAAAGAGGACGCTTCGACCCCTGCTGGCGCTGGCAGGGTGCGGCAGTCAGATCAACATGCTCGTAGGGTCACCAGATTTGTTGCATGAGGGCAGCTTTGTACTGGCTATTCTGTGAAAACTTGTTTATTCAACATTTGGATGTGCGACGTTCTCCACCAAAGAAAGCATTCTCAGCGCCGAGGCTGCAGCAGCGTTTCTCCATGATCTGGAAGGCGCGTGCGGAAACATAGAATGCAATTTGTGCCACAAGCAGCAGACCTTTTCGTCAGCGCACAAAGCTAACATGACACCACCCAGACCGTGAATGGCTAGAATTTGTTCACCAAGCAGGGTGGCCACCGTGCAGATGGAATCATCGTCAACTCTTGCATCTTGCAGCCGAGAACTTTCGACCAAAATAGTTGAGCTAAGAACAAGTCAAGGCGCTTAACAAAACGCAATCTGTCTTCTTAGCCTGCTGCGTGTGGCATAGCCCTAGCGGTCAGGTAAGGATACAGTTGCACAGCAGCGCGCCCAGAAGGGACCAAGACTGCTTTTTTTTCTCCAAATTGCGTCCGAGGTGTCCGCCCCAGCCATCGTCCCCCTCAAAGAAGAGCAGCAAGTCGAAGAAGAAAGCGCAAATCTCCGAGGCCTGAGGCTAAGTGATGTCCAATTCCCTGCCATCTTTTCCATGCAGGAGGCAGCTGATCCAAAGTGGCTCAATGCCTTTCGCGGGTTGGCAGAGGGCTGTGCGCCACCTAGCACACTCAAGCTCAGATTCCCTGTCATGTTTTCTCGCTGCGAGGCAAGGAGACTGTAGATGCCGAGGTCCTGGCAGAGTCTTGCACCAAGCATGCAGGGCTCAAACTGAGCATGTCCAAAACATGGCATGTAGCATCACGAGACAACGGATCTCAATTTTCACAGTTCTGCGACCGAACCGTCGCGCAAGGTGCGCCAAAGTGGCACAGCGACTTGAGCCAAAGGCAAGGTTTCAGCATAGTCTAAGCAAGAGGAACTCGGCAACCTTGGGTGGGGCAATGTATGATGCTAACCGCTTAGATTGGTTGACGATGCCCGCATTTCGCAGAACTTGCAACAACGTAAATCCTCTAATTTTTTTGCCTCGTTGAACTCGGCAGCATGTTCAACTCAGAGAAGTGTCCTGTGTCCTTCACTTGCCCCAGATTTTTCGTACAACATGGATCGCATCCAAGCCAAAAGGGCTTGCAAGCCCAGATGCACTACCTGCATCTACCTGTGATCTGAGGACTCGGAAAGGCGATTTACGTGCCTTAATATGTCTGCATGCATTTCAAGCCTCAGATGTCTGCACAGGCTACCTATTTTGTAGTCATGCTGCTTGACGAATGTGTTTGGGTTGCCGAGTAACTTGGGGACCAAGACGAAAATCACTCTCTGTCAGGCTGCGGAACTCTGCGAAGTGGCCGCCAAGGCAGGTTTTGACATGAACGACCTTGGACGCCGGTGCCTAAGGGCTTGTTTGAACATGCACAGCTGCAAACTCGCATGCATAATATACTGTGCCTAGTCGCTGCGGCCGTGGGTGCAAGCCCTTCCTCATATCCAGAAGCCAGCGCTGGCAACAGTCCCCTTTACTTACAGATGGCGCCTGCATTCCGTGATGCAGACTTGAGCCTTTTTGCCACTGTTGTTCTGGAACACTGGGATTACTGTCGTTCAATTGCAGCCGCAGTTTCGGCCTTTCCCACTGGCACATCGTCAATTTTGTGTATTCCATGTCGGTCATCCTAAGCTGCTCAGAAAATCTGCAGCATGTGCCACAAAGGCGCTGTGTGCAAGCTGCTGTTCTACGACCCCACCCTCTGCAAGGAGCAGGAGGCAGGGAGCTGGAACATCATGGCATCGAGGAGGATGGCATGGTAGGTTCAACTGACTTGCAAGCAGGACATGGGCTGTGATGAGCTCCAAGTGGCTCCAAAGCAGTCAGAGGCGTGTCTTAGAGTAACTAGAGACCGCGTTTTGAAAACACCACGGTCCTGCTTCACGCGCCATTTCTCCGCAATCTCATCTTTCACTTTTATTTGTCTTCTCATGCAGAGTTTCAGCATGCACAGGGAGCGAATGGCCGAAAAGGCACCAAGATTCTGCAGCTCGCTGAAGAAAGCCTCAGGCAATGAAACGTGCTCGTCTGCTCGTCCCCGTCCTCCCTTTAATGTCATGCACCATTTGTGCAAGGACCGATGCGAAAGGGCTGCTCTCCCAGAGGAGCACGGTCTGCATGAAGGCCTTAGATTCTGGCGGCGAAGAAGAGGAGGAGGCCTCGGCCGGCCTTGCTCTTTCGGGCTTTTCTCAGACTTCATTGGAAGGATGGCGCCATCATGACGGACAAGTACTCGTACAAGATGGCCCTTCGGATGCCAGCTTCCAGTCTTGGAAATGCTGCAACGCTTCTACCTAGTGAGGCAGCAGAGGAGCGCGAGAAGAAGCGCTCCGCGGTGCAGACGCCAGCGACGCCTGACACTGAGACTCCCAGACCGTTCGGGTTGCCTGGCAGCCTGCATGGCCTCAGGACTGGCACCGACGGCCCACATCCTCTGTATGAGGACTGCTTGGGAAACAACCTCTGGTCCGTCGCTTTCCGCCGCAGTCATCTGTGGCCCTAGGCCATGGTCGACTTTCAGGGAGAGGTGCAGTGCCTCGAAGAGGCGCAGCCACGAGCCCTCTCTTTGCTGCTCTGGACCGGTGGCAGTTTGCCAGTTTGCCCTGCAGGCCTTGCAGGAAACCCCCGAGACCGCTCTGGAGGCCAAGAAAAATGCCAGGGCATCATGGCGTCAGAGTGTTCAACACCTGGGAGGTACCATTGGATGAGGCAAAGTCCATCCCGTCCCCTTTGTTCTACGTCTTCGACTCATATTGATGGAGTGCGGTGAATGCGCCAGTTATGAAATCTCGTGGACCTCAGGCTGTGGGTCATTTGAAAAGCCCGGGAGTTGTCAAGTTGGCGAACCCAGTTGCAAGCACAAGCATGCACAAAGAACATGAACTGGAGCTGCCTTGGCATTGTAAGAAGTTCTGAGGTTACTGCTACAAAGCAAGGCAAACCCTCGGGCCCGTTTCAACATGACAAATTGGGGGTCGGAGGCCAAGGTCTGGTGTTGGTGCGATCACCATGTGTTCAGCATGCTCAGCCAATCTCAGCCCCATCTGAGGATCTTTGAGAAAGGAATGACCGCCTTGGAAGCGGTGCTCGTCTGAGCTACACTTTGTGGGAGTCTTCAGCAGCACAGTGCTGCAGAGGTTCAGAGAAATCAGACGACTGGCGCAATGCGGGCATGTTATTGCACCATCTTTTGCCATATGCTAATTTGTAAGTACAATTCTTCCCTGCATCACCTGCGGAAATATCTCCGAGCTCTGGTGAGGCTCCCAAAGCCAAGAACTATTTTAAAGGGGCTCTCTTAAGCTTCGATTGGGAGAGGGCTCTCATACAGGTTTTCAGACATTTTAGGAGGATGGATATGGAACAGGGCAGTGCCAGGACTTCCGGATGCAGGCGATGGGGGATCTCCTGCGAAAGGCGCAGGAGCTGGTGCTTAACTAAGCTGCATACCTAGTTCTTCATGACCCGTGTCTCAGTAGATCTGACTGATGTTTTGGAATCTTGGGCTCGTCACGGTCTTGCCATAGGATAAGCTGGGCACGATCACAGAGTCCTTGTGCCACGGCTGCAGAGTAGGTGGCAGTCGATAGCTCGATAACCTTCACTGAGAGTCACCGAGGCCTGTGAAAGGTCGACCGCGATCCCTGAGTTTCAGCGGCCAATTGCACCACCTGCAGCCTAGCGCAGTGCGCTAAGTGCGAGAAGAGCTTTTAGGAGGAGAAGGCAGCTGTGTGCTGACCTGGCCAGCACTGCCAGGCAACCACCACGGATCTTTTGTTGGGCCAGCGCTCGGAACCACTTGGCCCTGCAGACATCCAGGAGGAGCGCGGCGCACAGTCAGGAGTGAAAATCGATCATGTGTGATCCTGTGATGCCTGACCAAAATCTCACGTGTCTCTGATCCCTGACACTTTGCTGAGCCTTCCAGTCTTTGTAAGGTACGCAGGGCAATCCGTCGTCCGGGACAAAGTCGATTCATCCGTGAACTCTGATTTGTATCGGCTCAAGATCCGGTTGGCTGCTCCTGCTTGACGTAAGGACGCAGCAAGCTTCAAGAGGCAGCAGCCCCAAGCGCCATTTTGATCCAGAGTCCTGTCCCGTTTCCTGCAAGCAAGCTCCAAGAAATCCCAAGACGTGCTTTGATATGTGAGGCTTGGCCGGAGGCTGGCAGCTTCTGGTATCAGTAGTCCATATGGTCTCCATAATGTCATATGCACCCCTAAGCCGAGACTCTCATCAGATGCTCAAGAGGCGGCCATATTCTTGACTCTAGACGCCATGAAAGGACTGTTCAAACACTGGAAGTCTGCAGCTGCAGGCACAGCCACATGCCGGTGATAAGGAGGACAGTGCGCAGTCGCAGATGTTCATAGAAGTTTTCAGATTTTGGCAGATCTCATGCATAAAGAGCCAGGATGAGTTTGGCAGCCGCGTGCTCAGATGTCTTGATGGCTGTCTTCACTGGCTTGAGAATTGTATCACTTATGCATGTGTGCTGAGAACCGGCGCCCTAGTGTTCTGCCCTGAGTATCAGTTTCTCCTGGAGCCAGAACTGGACCAGAATCACTCCCCAAAAACGCTGCAGTTGGTGCGGCCTATCATTTTCTGCAAGCACGTTGACGGACACCCCAGTCAGGACTGCTTCGAAACACCTGGGGGCTTGTGGATATGTAGAAGTTGGCAAGTCCTGAAAAATGCTTTGCTGTGCAGATGTACGAAATGGGGGAGCAGATTGGCTCTGGCACGTTTGGCACCGTCTGGAAAGCAAAACACACACAGCAACTTGCCTTAGCTTCGTGACTTTGTGGCAGTCTATGCTTGTGCAACTCCAAGCATGTCCACGTAAGCAGATCCTGTCGTATGTCTACAAGGCTTCATTTGGGACAAGCAAGGATGGCCTTCTTGAATCTCAGGACTGGTCAGCTGCATGCGGCGGAAGCCTCAGCCTCTTCTGGTAGCCCAAAAGCCTAGTGTTTGTTGCTCTAAACTCTGCAGCTGCCTTCGAGATCAAAAGCTGTCCGAAGAAGCTGATACCGAGCGACGAACTTTGGGTAAGGGACAAAGCTTGCCACGACGTAGCATGGCAAAGTACGACTGCTGTACCCGTGAGTCTGTAAGTGTATTTCAGATATGTCCATAACATGCCTAGGCCGAGATCGACATTATGAAGCAGCTTGATCACGATCGGAGCTAAGCCTGCGGTCGCCAGCATGGATCATGTGCAACTGGACCTGAAAATTCTTGTGCTTAGCCCCACATCATGCGGCTCTACTACACCTTCGAAGATGAGCAGTCCGCTCCCCACATGTGGCGGTTTTTTTTGGGCATGTTGAAGGTTTTTGGGCCGAAGGGCACATGTGTATCTGAGGTGCATCTTCATTGCTTCAGAGCTTTGTGAAGGTGGCGAGCTCTTCAATGCCATGATAGAGGCACTGGCTGACAATTACTTAATTGATTGAGAGTGCCGAAAGTCTAAGCTCAGCCAATGATTTCAGCCTTCCCACTTTTTCAGGCAGGTGCTCTGAACGAGCCAACGGCTGTTCTTCTGTTCAAGCAGATCATGTCAGTGTCCCAGACAGTCAGGCCTCTATGCCAACTTCAAATTGATTTGCCCCGCTTCATCTCCAGTGAATTGCCGTGAAAGATTGGTATTCAGGAGCGCTGTGTCCTACATCCACATGAACATGGTGTGCCACCGTGATTTAAAGCCGGAGAACTTCCTGATCTCCAAGAAATGTGAGATCAAGGACGCTGTAAGATACCTCCGGAGCTTTGAAACTTAGTCATCTGGCTGGAGGATAGCAAAGTGAAACTGATCGACTTCGGAACAGCCAAGCGCTTTGATTTGCACCCGCTCACGACGAAGGCCAATACATCCTAAGATGTTACGTGCATTCCATCAATCTCGAGTGAAGGACACTGAAAAGAGACCTTGTGTGGACTTTCCTTGTTCAGGTTTGCACGGTGCACTACGTTGCCCCAGAGGTCTTGAAGAAAAGTGCGCCGCCCCATGCCTGACCAAGCCAGCGTAGACTGCGAGGGCATCTGGCACAGAATCACGCGTCACCGCTTTCTTCTTTGGGTTGTCATGTAACTCATGTGCCAGCGACGCAGGCATGGAGCCTTACACAGAAAAAGTTGATGTGTGGTCGGCAGGGGCTTGGCACCTAGCATCTCCGCGTGCAGCGTCAGATGGCCTGTGCAGGTGGCAAATGTGGCAAGTGTCTGTCCCGAGGTGGTGCTGTTTGTTATGCTGGCGGGAACTCCCCCGTTTCACAGCGATGACGACATCGAGCTGATGAAGAAAGTGAAGAAAGCGCCACAGCCTCGCACGTTTTGTGGGCACAAGCTGCATCACAAGAGAGATCTCATCCTGGGCGAGGAAGTGGGAGTTCAAGCCAGAGAAGGCTTGGCGACGCGTCTCTGCTTTGGGCAAGCAGCCAAAGTCTCAGGGTCTCTCAATTTGGCTTCGTCTTCAGCTCCAAGTTCCAAGTTCTTCTGGCTGCCAGGCTGGTGTCCAGCATGTTGACCAAAGAGGTCGAGGCACGGCCGCACTCGGCCGAGGCTGGGTTGCCAGAACAGCGTGAAACTAAAAACAATTCAAGCTTTCCAGCTTCCAGGTCCTGGCGTCTGATTGGTTTCGACAGGAGGCACATACTCCTCCTTTGGAGGAGCTGCTGCTTTCTTGGCGGAACATCTTGCGGGCCAGGTCGCAAGGCAAGATACAAAGGTAGATGCCAGTGCCTGAGACCACTGAAGCAGACAGCAGAAAGTGCTGGCACATGGTGGCGCCAAGGAAGACAATCTGACACAGATGAGAACCTTCGCCAGATGCCGAACATAGCATTAAGTATCCACACCTCGACTGCATTGTCGGCTTTAAGATGCTTGCAGAACGATGAGGTAGCCCAGAGCCGGCTGAAGAAGGTTGCCTTGCAGATCATCGCTCGGCAGGCGGTGTACTGTGACAGGGGCTTTCTGTTGTGGTGAACATGGAAGTCATATATGTTGCGCCACCGAAGATTTCGGACGACACGATCGAAAAGCTTCGTGGCATTTTCCTGTCGTTAGATGACGACCATTCGGGCACTCTCTCAGCCAAGTGCTCAGCAGCGTGAGTTCGCAAGTAGCAGGATCAGCAGCATTGGCAAGGGGAGATGTCTGAGGTAGAGGAGATTGATGAAGCCTTAGAGCGTTTGGAAGTCGAAGAGCCAATCCGAATCGAAATGAGGCGCGAGTTGCTTTGAAGCTTGTGCAGGGACCGCCAATCAAGATCTGAGGCGTTTGATGCACGAGATTGATGTTGACGGCAGTGGAACCGTGAACTACACAGAGCTCCGAACCAAGCCCGCATGAGGACTCATTGCGGTAAACAAGCCAAGGTGTGAAGCATTGGAGTAAGAGACTTCTGAGGTTCATCGCTGCCAACATCTCAAAGAAACAGTATCTCCAAGAGCAGGTGTGCAGGATGCTCAAAGAGAGCTCAATGTGCCAACTCATTGTAGCTTGTGATGGATGCGCTAAAGATACCTCGCTCAGGCAAGGCGGCCTTCCACATATTTGATGTCAATGGCCCCGGACCCGGTGATCGTTCGTGTTGTTTGTTCATGACGTCCGCGATGAAAGTCTTCATGAGACCTGTTCCGGGCCAATATCAAACTTGTGTGGATAACAGTCAGTGTTGGGATGCTGGTCTGTGTGGGACTCGATGCGCATCGAAGCGTATCGATTCAGAGACATCTCATAATGCCGTCACAGGCTCTGTCAACGATTCTGCACGGGTTGAGTGCTGTGCGTGAGGTGACGGCTTCATTTGCAAAAATGATTTGGCCACACAGCTGCAACAAGCAGAAACTTCGTAAAAAAGCATGACTGCGACAGTGACTTTAGTCCCTCTCAAGGCGGCTCTCCTTAAGAGTGGCCATGACGATGATGGATTTGCAGGCCTTGCCCCCATCTTGTGCAGATCTTGCGATCCCAAATGCGGCAGATGCGGGCGGTGTGTGTGACTCTGAGCGATCGGAGGCATTAGCGTTGACGAAATCAATTCGATGATGAATGAGGTGGGTTAAAACCGAAGCCTGGGCTCTCAACTATGCAATCTGATTGAGGTGGACCAGAATGGGGATGGCCGCATGTCCTTCGACGAGCACCTCGACAGCATGAAGTTGAGCGCACGTATTGATTTACGTCACCATGCACAAACAAAACGGTTGCTCCAACCAAAATGAAGCTTCTTCTCGTTTTCTTTTGAATCTACATCATCGAGATTTTTCTCCGCGGGTTGTCGAATCTCACGAACGAAAGGTTTCATTATCATCGTCATCTATCCTTATTGGAAAACCATCATTCAAACAAGTTAAACAGATGAACATACGGACAGATACGCCCAGATCAGGGACAGAAATCTGGATACTACACTGCATGAGATCTATGCTTGTACTAGCCCTGCCCGCGCTCGTACAAGAGACAGGTTCATGGCTCTGATGGCAGACAGGAAAGCACCGAAAACAAGGACATATTGAGGTTATATGGGGATGATAGAAAATAAAATGGAAACTACCATCTAGATCTACATAGTATATTGGGGTTATATCGGGATAATGGAATGAACATGGAAACTACTATATATATATATATATTATGAATATATATATATATGTCCATATAGTATATAGCCCAGTTGCAAGCTTGGGGGGACCTCAGTGCTTGCCCGTGTTTGGGCGTTTTTGAGGAGTCCGGAGCCGGCCGAGCCGGGATGAGGAGGTAGCACAAATATATTGAGGTTATATTAGAGTTACAACGGGGTTATGTTGTGGTATATTATATTATATTGGGATTATATAGGGATAATGGAAGAGAAAATGGAAACTATAGGGATCATGTAGGGTTTACATAGGGTTTGTATCAGTCTGAGTCTAAGGTCAACTTTTTTTGGCAAAATTTGGCCGTTGTCTCCATTTATGGTCTCGCTCGCAGGTTCCGAAGCCCGTGGAATCTTTGTGAGAGCGGACGTTGCAACATGTATGCCCCATCAGCTTGCAAAACGGGGCTGGGACCAAAAGAGGCCGTGGTGACCAGAACAGGGCTGGGGGTCCAAGCTAATTTTTTGAACATGTCCAGGGCTTTTGGATTCCGCATTGTCTGCTGGAGCGTACAGACAGGTGACTAAATTTCAAGAGCTTCCTGGACATGCTTTCTTTAATGCAAGTTGGTCTCAAAGGGAGCAGCTTGCAGCACAGGGTTTTCCTGTTCGGAGTCAGAGTGCTCCGCAGTTGTCCGATGTAATTCAGGTGAGCTGCAGTGGCCCTCTTCAGAGGTGCCGCTAGTTATGTAGCGCAGGTCCAGATTGCCAATCTGGGCAACGCCATGATTATCAAACCAGCGGGTTCAGCATTGCGGTGTGCAGCCGTTGCTCTGCTAAAGTTCCGGCTTTCTAGACATTGGACCCAGGACTGACTAGAGGCCCTCAGCATATGCGTAGGTAGTGTGTTTTCGATTTGTGCGGCTTGCAAGCGCTTCCCGGCCACACGTTGCTGGAAGCGGCTCATGTATGGAGCACAGGACGCAGAGCGACACCCAGCTTTTGAAGAAAGTGTCGCTGAGCAGCATGCGGTTCCCGCTTGTGGCATCGCTGCAAGACTGCACCGTTGTCACAGTTAATGCTTATTGCTCTGGCTGTCGATAGCCTCGGGGTGGCGAATGCGCAGGCAGGTGACCAGCCCGAGATCTTGTCGCCTCCCATCGGAGCTTTGCCATGAAAAAGGAATAGCACCAAAAGCTGTGCTGCTGAGCGATTCATGCACAACAAGATGGGTGTGGAGGACTACGGGAGAATTGCCAGTTCCTGCATTTTTGCGTTGAGTGAAAGATCACATGGAGAGTTCACGCATGATATGGCATTGACTTTCTTGACATGTGTCACGGTATGGGTTCAGATGAGTCCTATTCACACGGAATGCAAGATTTCAACCTAGTATAAGAACTGGCCAACAGGACAAGGTCGTTGCCAACAACCCAATTGAACTTCTGAATTCCCCCAGCGCCCAGGTTCGGGGCCCGCATGCCCGAGCAAATGCGCAGATTTCAGCACGAGTAGCAGGGATTTGATAACGTTGGCCTACACTGAGATCAGGGCAATCTTAAGTTGAGGAAACTTTGTGCATTGAGAGACGGAACCAACAATCATTGAGATCATGTTCTTGAGAGGCATGCTTTGCTTAATGTTTCCAGGCAAGATATCCGTTGCAATCTCGTTCAGCCTGGAGGCTCGAGTCACGGGCAGCACTAGTAGAATAAATGACCTTGCGCAGGTGCAGGGTGCTCGTTGAGACGCTCGTGATGAGCTTGGTGTTGATATCGGCTGGTGAGTGTGATGAGCCGCTTGAGGAACCATTCTTGTTCAACGTAGCGGGTAGTTGCAGCAGAGTTCCAGTTGTTCCATTTGATCTAGTTGAACCTCGCTGGGAATATCGCGAAGTTTGGCAGCAAGACTTGCAGCCGCCATTGCCGCGCGATGTTTTTTATGATCGTGTAAACATCGTGATTTCGGCCTCGGATGAGTGGCCGGAAGGACTAGAAAATGCTAGTCGCCACGATCTGTGCACACCTGCCGTAACGTTTAACAGCAGCAGGAAGCCATGTCAAGGATGTCAAGTTCAAGCTCGCTCAACCGGCGATGGCATTTATGGCTGGCAGGAAGTGATCGATGTGAACGCCACTGAAGATGGATGTTGGAAAGGCTCTGTGTCGTTCCCACCTACGTGGGAGTTGGGAGTGTCTATGTCGTGCGAAACGCCATGCCAAGCCATGGCTCAGGTGGACTTCCAAGTAGCTCCTCATCCTTCGGCCAATTGCACCGTGCCATCTTGCAGGTGTTTGTATTGTGTGGATGCTCAGCTGTGCGAGACCCTGAAGTGCCTCGACCTGGATTTTAGTTCTACGGCTTGCCGCTACAAGATGGGTTCTGTCCCAGACATCTACCAACATAGTTTGAGGCCATCCAGGCAATTGTATGTGGGCTACTTCACCGTAGATGGCAAGTGCGGGTCGAGAGCACTTGGCACAACCAGCAGTGGCACGGACGTTTCCGTCGATGGTGAGCGTGACTCCACGACGGCCACGACTGCTAAGCCCGAGCTTAGGAACTTGAGCAACTCGAGCAACTCGAGCACAGATGCTGAGACTTTGGACAACCTGACCACTTCAAACAAGACCAGCACAACAGAGGAGTGGAATGCAGTCCTCGGCCGTTGCCGTGGATTTAAGACCGGTGCGATGAGCTGGGCTCTGATTCAGCTTGCTTTGTTTTTTTGAAGTGTCACTACTACTTAGAGCCTGCCTCTCAGTCCGTGACCTGTCCAAGCCGCCAAACGGTGGAAATGGCCCAAGGGCGCGCTGAGAGAAGTGGCACCCATGGTTCAGTTCTTGTACGTACTACAGTATTGTGGGCCTGCTCTTGTTGCTGCGAGACCTTTATTCTTCTTCTTCCGACTGAGGTTTGGGGTGCTGGTGTCCAACGTGGAGGGATACTTTGAGTGACAAACACTTTGCTTTTGATCTAGTAGACCTTTGAGAAGATAAGAACCCTGTGTCGGAGTCCTCATGCCAGCGCTCATTTTGAAAGCAATGCCTCCCAAGGCTGTCGACTTCCTCAGTGTCCGCTAAACCCTTAAACCATAAGATCTTAACCAACCCCAAGCGGTCTAGACCTCGTAATCCGGAAGACAAAACATCACAGGTATTGCAAGTTTCTGCACTTTCCCAGATGAAACCAGCAAACACACCTTCCAAACAGCCCAACATTTTCAGACTGGGCTCCAGAAATTGCGGCGAAACATCATCATAGAAGCTACAGGAAATAGCTTGGACACAAGGTCCTACCTCTTAAAGACCCAAAACACCTCATGGCATGCCTCATCCAGGAGGTAGTGTACACTAATTTAAGACCATCTAATTCCTTTTTAGGAAATGGTTGCAGCTAGGGTTGAATTGTCAGGTTGTCGTAACACAGAAATAGAACAGCCAAGCATCATCCAGTAAGCCCTTGGGGCTCATGCTAGAGTCTAGAGCCTAACAAACACGGAACTGAAATAGGAACGGTTTTTTGGCAAATGAAGCCAGATTTTTCAACTATTGTAGTCAAGCGCATTGTACAAGACACGCTGACAGCCTCATCATTGTTCTGGCATGATGGCTGACATTGAGGGTGAAGGTGGGACTGGATCGTGCTGAGCGTCATGCATGCTCTATCATGCTGATATATCGGAGGTGCCGTGGACCTCTCATTATCCTCCTTCATTGGAGCTGCCAAGCCAGATTTGAAGCCAACACAACTCACAGTGGTGGAAGAAAAGCTGGGAAAAGCCAGGCCCTCAACGTTTGCCAGCACAATTATGACTGGCTGATGCTACCTTTCATGCTCTTGCAGTGGCTGCATCTGCATGAAGCGCGGCAATACAACCGGGCCGTTCGCTGAGGTCGGCGTCAGGAATGTGGAGGAGTTGGCACATGCTCTGCGAGGCTCGGTGCCGAGCATTCCTGGATGCAACAGAACTGCGCGGAGATATTCCAGGGCGAAATGAGAGGAGCTTGAACAACCGCCTTCGAGCCTGGGGCTAAGTACTACAGTACGGCTGCAGGCGGCTGCCCTGAAATGCCCTGAAGCTTCTTTGGCTTTTGTCGGCCTTCTCGTGCTTGTGCAGGCTGTGGGCGAGAAATGCTTCACCTCTGAGACCCTCAGTGCGCTTCGACAACGCGTCCGTGAAGACCCGTCCTTAAAGCGCCCCAGGCCCGTGCTGAAAAGTGCCAAGAAGCTCAAAAGGGCGGTGGAAAAAGGGCTTCCCTGGCGCAGGCGCCAGGCCGGCGCGGCCAATGGCACCCATGCCGACAGAGGCAAAGCTTAGACGAGACATTTTTTCCTCGTGGTCTTTTGCTTTCCCTTTTTTTTAGGTGTGCTGGGCAGCAGCTTGAAGTCCACAGGTGCACCGGCCAAGAGTGAACGGCATTGAGGGTAGTGCTAGAGCAGAAGAGTGAAGCCTTGGGCCAGAGCGAGGGACACCGCGTAGACAGATCCAAAAAGGGATGGCTCTTTTCTGAGGGGAGCAGCGAGCGCGGTTCGGTGATACCAGGAAACGGCGGGGTGCTGGCTATGCCGACGTCCAAAGAAGGCATGAGGCAGGCTCTCGAGGAACTGGGGCTTGAGGCGGGTCTGAAGTCTGAACTCTAAATCTATATCAAAGCATTGCATAAGGCAGAAGGCCAGGCTCAAAGAACTGGAAGCGTTTTGCTGTAGCGCCGCGCAGGTCAGCAGATGTCAGGTGCGGGAAATGCGAGCCTTGCTTTTGGAAGCTCGTCGATTGGCTGGGCTGCAGCGACCAGATCTTGCGGCCGAGGTGCATCTACAGGAAGTCAGCCTCGAGCAGAGTCTGAAGAGTTGATGTTCAGGTCCGTGGACGATTGGGCCGGAATCCAGAGCGAACTGCAAGCTCTGAGAAGTTGATAAGGCCACGTCTGGACTGGTGTTCTGTCAACTGTGTGTCAACTGTGTTGTTGCGAAGGCAACTCCTCGAAGCCTCTTTTCCAGATGCAATTGAGCCGTGTGCTGGTACGGAATTCGAGAGAAGTAGAAGCGATGATGAGGACTTGGCTTGCTTCTTTGGCTACGTCAGCGGGATGTAGTTACTGCATGATGATTTAGTGACACCGAGCGAGGGAATTTCAGGAGGAGGGGTTTGGATGTGAAACATGCTCCGGGAAACTTTGATGCTGCACCTGAGGCGTCTGAGTTCCGACTTGGCTTTGCAGCTCCCGTGTTTGCTAGCTGAAGAACTCCATACCCGGAACAAGCATGGCAAGCACCGCAGATGTGAAATCTCTCCGTGCGTGCACAGGGAATGGTGCTCCGCATGCATCTCTCTGCCAAATCATAGCTCCTTTCCTCCTCCAAACACGCTGGCTGTGTCCCTACCATGTCACTGCTGCAAAAAGTTTATCAGCTGGCTTAAAAGACTCTGCTTCGTCATTTTCGGCTGTCTGTAAAGCGTGTAAGATGGCCACAGCCAGGAGGGCCATCAAGCCATGCGAAGCATAGTCTGCATACGCCTGGCACCTTGTCAACTGGCAACGTCGAACAGAGTCTTTGTCTAAGGTGCAGGCACAGGCGCGTCTCCACAAAGCCTTTTTGAACCTGCTGCAGGACGGTTTCACTTTCGAGATACTCACGCCAAGCCCTGAAGCGCTCTCACTGTCCACTCTCCTTTCAAATTCTGAGGACTGCTGGTGTAGTATTTTGCGCTGTTAGTTTATGCAGATGATCTCCAGATTTAATGCTGTTGCAGTTGCAAGGAGGACCTGTGTGAGCAATGTCTGGAACTCATTCACAGCTGTGCCAGTTTGTCAGATGCTGCAGAGCCAAAGCCGTGAGGCAAAGCGCGTGGTTTATGGACAGAGAACCTAGAGTGGCATGCCGAGAATTTCCATCCCCCATAGTAACCAGACTTTTACTGTTTCTGGTGCTCAGGTCCAAAAGCAAAGGGTTCCTGGTTAGGTGCTGAGTTGCGAGATTGTGCTTGCGCTTGTATGCCTGCGTCAACATTCGCGCACAAGCTGAAGTGCTTGATCGCTCCTTGTGCATGCCTGTCATTTCTTCATGTTGCATGGGACTTCCTTCATGACGAGGCCGTCCTCCTAAAGATGGAGAGTCGCAGGGAATATCTGCGGAGCTTGCAGGTACTTCACGTTTCACAAGAGATGATGACAAGTTGGTTTTTGCAAGCTTGGGTGGCCAATGGCTTGTGAGCCAGTGTCTGCATGCAGCATGCTGCAGGTACAAGACTGACTTGGCTTCGGAAGCCTTGACGAGGCTGGCTTTGCGTTGAAGAAAAACATAGTGCACAGAGCACGCATGCATGATATTGCTTGCTCCTGTTTTCAAGTATGACAAGGCGGATGCCGTGACGTGGCAGCTGTAGAGCTCAAGCTCAATAATGCAACATGGAAACATGTGGAAATCAAGCGGCAGACATGTGGAACTTGTAGGAAAGTGTGTTACTTGATTCTGTACGCTGAGAAGTCGCATGTGTGCAGGCAATTCTGCGAGCTTGCAGGCAAATGTCTCACATGCCTCCTTGAGCCACCGCAAGCTGGACGGACGTAAAGCTATCACTCTGAAAGCTCAGAGCAGCAATGAGGATAACAACAAGAGTAAAGGTAGGAAAGGGAGCCAGCCGCTGCGCCTTGAAGCTGAGGCGCCGGCAGGCGCCTTCAGAGCATGTGCATGCTGCGTAGGGTGTCGGGGATTGGATACACATCCAACAACAGGGGCTGAGATGGGATTGGCACCAGTTATTCGCTTTTTCTGAGTGGAGCTGCATATACTCGGTACCCGGGGCCTGGAGCAGTGCGCGCTGACTTGGACCGTTCCTGCTTGGAGCGTTGCTCCAGCCCTCCCTTCACAGGGGCGGTATAGCAGTGAGAAGAAGAAGGGAGAACCACTCCGAACCACCGCTCAATTCCTTTAAGATTTTGTCTTTCTGAAACCTGCAGGCCCCCATGGCGTCTGAAGCACCCAATGTGCCGATGGAGGGCTGTGACGTCCTCATGGTGCCGCACAGGCCGGATGAATTTGTCACGCAGACTCTAGGGCAGAGGGTCTGCTGGCAAGAGTGGCTTGCAGGTTTGACGCAAAGGAGCTTCGGTGGATTCCAACCGGTGCGCTCTGGGGAAAGGCTTCCTGAAAGTTGCTTTACATGATGTTTTGTTGGGCCAGGCGAAGCGGCCGTGGCAGTCCGGATGAGCCGGGAGGTGGGTAATTAGAGCTCAGGGCAACAAGTACTCAGTCGTGGTCTTCTTCCTGCTTAGCAGCTTAGCATCTGCTGCCTTCCTTCGGCTGCAGGCTGCCAAAAGCTGGCGCATCGTTGTGGGCAATCAGGGCGTGCCATTATCCGAGATAAGAAGCGCATCCACCCTTGGCCCAAACTTTTTGGTGCTTGCCTCAGACTCCACGCAGACTGCTGAGAAACCTTCATGTCACTACGATGCTCTTCTGATTCATGACCCAGTGTCATCGGCATGGACTTGTCCCAGGTCCTTGATCTGATCAAGCAGGGAAACGTTGGCCTCCGCTGCGAAGATGAGACGCAGCCTCAGTGGTGTGTGAGATGGCGGTGGTGGTTGCATGTGTATGCAGTGTATGCAGCTTGGGAGCAAGGCCAGCCTTGAAGCAATTTACCACGGAACTCTCGAAGCGCCGAGCAGACCCTTGTCAGCCACTATTGGGGATGGGTTGGATATTTTAGTAGGGATCACGCAAGCGGGCCGCACAGTCTGCAACTCAGGATTATGAGCGTTTCGAGCAGTACGAGCAAAGCAGAGACTTTCCTAAAATAAATTCAGCCCTGAAGTGCAGTTGCCTGCGCATGTGAGCAACTGTTGGGGAGCTTTGCAGCTTCAGCCTGAGGCGTCCAAAGCTACTTCCAGTACTATGCCAAGCTGTCCAACCAGCAAAACATGCTGCAAGACAGCGTGCGAACCTCGACCTACCATCGAGCCATTGCACCGCGCTGAGTAATCACTTTGCAGAGGACTTCCACGTGGACTTGGACTTGCCTTCACGAAGCAAGCTGAGGTTGAGAATGTGGATGATTTCCAGGGCAAAGCAGTGATGGATCTGGGTGCTGGGAGCGGCATCCTCTCATTCTTTGCTGTACAGGCACGTCTGTTTGTCGTACTGCACTTTGTGCAGCATAGGAAGGGTATGCATTTTGCCAAGTTGCTGAGGCAGGTGCTGAGAAAGTGCACGCAGTGGAGGCCATGAGTTCTACCGCTGCCCGCACCTAATTCACTTGTCCTGGTTTGGGAGGCATCATCGATGGCGGAAGTGGTCCGCTTGCTTTCAGACGCAAACCCATTTTTGACCAAGAAGGTGGAGGCTGGCTACAGCTCACACAATCACGACTCGAGTTCTTTGCTTCGCGAAGGACACGCTCGGAAATAAAGTTACATGATGTTATACATGATGTTACATGATGGACAGGTGATCAGCAGGCCTGTGGAGACGATCACGACAAAAGAGCTGGACGGGCAGGCCCGGCCCAACCGCCGGTCAGAACGCAGCTACACATCTTGGAATTTACCAAGCCAGCTCAAAGGTGGATGTGTTGGTGTCTGAGCCCATTGGCACCTTCCTCTTCAATGAAAGGCTCGCCTGCACCCGACAGGGCTCCTCTGGAGCTCGAGATAGTGTCAGCTTTGGCTGTTCGCATGATGCTGCATCCTGCAGGATGATCGAGAGCTACCTGTGTGCTCGTGATCGGTTTCTCAAGCCTGGTGGCAAGATGTTCCCGAATGTTGGCACGATTTGTGCTCCCCACGGAAATTCCTCGGATTTCTGTCCGTGGACTGACTGCCATTGCCAACCTGCTGAAGCTTAGACAGGTATAGCTCCTTTTTCCGATTCGCTTCTGCATTGGGAGCAGCAAAACAAGCTGCTAAGCTGTACTCTGGCAGTCATCTGTCTCATTTGTGGATGAAGCTAGGCCTGCTTGGGGTCAAGGGCATTCATATCTAGGAATGGCTTCTGGAAGAACACGAACTTCTACGGGATCGATCTCACGGCAGCAGTGCAGAGATGTACAAGGCAGGCTCATGGGCTCCTGGCAGAAATGGCAGAAATGCTCTGAAACGCCGGGAGTCATGCAGGGTTGAAGTTCTGCTGCTCCTGCACAGGGAGCATTTCCGCCAACCCATTGTCGATTACATCAATCCAGACTGCCTGGTTTCCAAGTGTGTGGAGAAGAGGCTTGCCACAAGGAAAGCAGCTGGATGGTTCGCATGTTTGCCCGCAACCACATGTTGGAGGTTTGACTTCAAGACCATCTCGATAGAATCGCTTCACTCGCCAACTCCTTGGATGACTCGGTCTGATACGTGTGCGCGTGTGCCCTTCCAGATAGTCGCTGAGAAAGTCACAGTGGAAAGCTGGACCTGCTCAGCACTTTGATCAGGATTGAGATCCCTTTCGATTTTGAGATTTCGCAGCCTTGTTTGGCCAAGGACTTAAACGTCAAGTTGCCAGCATGAAGATTGAGTGTGCAAGCGGATTTGCCAGGTTCACGGCCTAGCAGGCTGGTTCGATGCTTTCTTTGAGGCAGGAGTTTTGAAGACAGCTTCAGCTGCAATGCCAACTTTATCAATTTTTTACCACTGCCAGGGCAGCAACCAGACGGTCGTTCTCTCCACGGCACCTACATGTCCAGGAACCCACTGGTCAACTGGCCGCGGTTTTGAAATCCTGCGCAATGCAAGACATGCCAAACATGTCTCTCTGATTCTCGCAAGGTACCAGATACGGTTTTTGCTAGAAGTTCCGCTGGCTGTCAATGCCGGCCAGCACGTCGAGGGTACTCTGAAGATGGAGGCATGGGTGCAGCTCTATCTCGTGAGCAGGCCAGTCGCTTCCCTCGCAAAGCTACAGGCAAACAACTTGCAGTCCTACTACATCAACATATCCATGAGAATACAGGGGACCTGATGCCGTAGCAGTTGTTGCTGCTGCTGGTTGTGATGGTGCTGCTGCTCTTGCTGACATGCCGTAACAACTCTGCGGGATGCTCCAGGACCAACATCTCCTCATCTGCTCCCTGCATTGATCTCAAGGCGTGGTGACCATTAATTCAGGCAGCCACTCTGAGCTCGCTCTCGCTCTGCAGACCGCAGGATCCCGAATACCGGTTTTACACCTCCGCGAATTCATACTGCCCGCAGAGAGCCTGGCTGATTCTTCACGCTGCAACTTGATAGCATGCATTAGGGCTTCAGTGAGCTCAGGCCAGGAACTGGCCAGTCCTGGCCTCGGATCAATATCTTTTACATTGCCATGCTCAGAAGTGTTTTCAAGTTTTAAGTCGTGGAGCCAGGAACGCAGCTCAGCAGCCTGCACCTGCGCCTCAGACCCAGATGGCCTACCAGCAGGCTCACTGAAACATGTCTCTCAGCATCCCTCAGCCTTCGGGCATCGTGGCTTGCCGCAGGCGCATTTTGCCCAGACTCAAAATGTCTTGCCGGGACAGGCAATTGCTATGCTTCAGTCCCATTTGGCTGTTCAGTGTGTCCTCTACGGATGAAGTTCATCCACTGCCTGCTGCTGCCAGGCAGCCTTCGCTTCGGCGCAGCCTGGCGCCCCTTTTTCCAAGGGTTCCGGTGAGCGTGGAATCCCCAACGCACTTGAGGCCGGCCTGGGCTGATGCTCGATCCTCGGATGTCTCAATGCACACAGGGGCACACGGCGCCCATGGTGCCCAGCGCGGCCCTTAACCAGGAAACTGATGAAAACTGGCTTACGCGTTGCTGCTGCCGAGCCAGAATCGAGGATAGGGCAGCCGATGACCAACGGCTACGCAGGTGCACCTCACAGCTAAAGTTAAAGGGCCAGCTTGATGCACGTGTCGGGCCGGTCCGGAAAAAAGGAACAGAGTCGTGTCCTGGTGCCCTTGACTGGAAAGCATGTAGATGTATCCTTGTACGCCTCTGGCAGTTGAGTGGCACTTGCACTACTTCCATGGATCCCGCAGCCTTTCTTCAATTGCAGGCATCGTGTATCTGCCAAACACTAAGGGGAAACCGCTCCCCGTGTTCTTCATACCCTTTTCGCGTCTTTCGCGTCGCTATGACCATGACTCGTGGACCCGTTGGCCTTGTGCTTGTGCTGGCTGTGGGACTGGTGCGTGCTGACTTCTTGTACAACGACAAGTTGGGTGCTGGGAAGTCTCCAGTCCTTCCGCTGGGGAGTGCTGAGCGCTTGGTGAAGAAAGCGTACGAGATTACTCGAACGACCACAGGCGCCTTGGGCAAGTTGGGTGGCCAGCATTCGCAGCTGGTGTTGGACTTCGGCGTTGATGAGCCCATGCTGGCCATTGACCTGCACACCGTCCGCGACCCAAAGAAGCCAGAGGTGGGATGTTGCCGAGAGCTCCGTAGATTCATGGCTTGTTGCGAGGCGTGAGGCGTATCCATTCATGCGCAGGTGCGACTGGATCTTGGGTCCATCTTTGTGCTCCGCATTCCCTATGAGGATGTCCAGACGTCAAAGACTCAGAACTCGGCCGTGACCATGACTAAGGAGGAGCTAGCCTCGGCCAAGGCCAAAAATCCAAGCTTCGCTCCGAAATCTGTGTACCGGATGTTGCAGCTGAGCAGGGAAGTCTCAGAGCAGGAAATCTTCTCCTTCCTGCGTGTATGGCACAAGCTCTTCGCGCACCGCTACGGCAAGTTCCAGTTTAACTGCCAGGTGATGATTGGCATGACCTGGTCGTACATGGAAGATAATCGGAAGTCCATCACTTGCCCAAACTGCAACCTCTTCAGCTTGCCGACCGAGGATGAGATTCTAGCCGCGGGCGAGATGACACGAGAGCGGCAGCAGGCCATCCGCGGAGGCATGGTAGAGCACGTCCCGGGCCTTGTCGTCGACACGCTGGATATCCTTGATGGGCGCTGCGGCTTTCGAGATCGGCCAGTGGCCGGCAACATCTCGGCTTTCCCATCCCCGCGGGCCTTGCCCTTGACAAAGCACCAGCTGATGGGTGACGGCACAGCAATCTTCCGTGCTTACACATTGGGTCTGCACCACATCGGCTCCAGTTTCGATTTCTCTGAGCACCCTCTCGTCTTCCGTGGGGAGCTGAGCTACAAGAAGCGTGCCTTTACAGCTGCAGAGCACTCGCTGTTGTACAAGGATGACAACGACAAGTTGGAAGCTGCTGCGAAGACCAGCATCAAGTTGGGCCCCTTCACGCTTGCGCTGAACATGGGCGGGGGGCTCCTCAGGTATCTCATCAACTTGCCTGGCCACGAAACGAGCTCTTCAACAGTGAGCACGGGCATGCAACTCCTGAAGCAGATGGATCTGGGACGCCGTGCTGTACGGTCTGCTGATGGGCAAATCAAGTACAGTGGACGGCAGCGGTACACCTATGCTGTGACTGACACTCGGCTGGAGATCGCAACTGGCGGCATGCTGGACACATTGAAGATCCCACTCGGAGTGACAGGTCTGCTGTCCAAGAGAATGAAATTTGACCTCTTGAGCAAGCACAACATGCATGCTGGATCCCGCAAAGACTTGCGCTATGCGGGTGAGCTAGTCGTCGTGAACAAGAATCCAGCCCACGCGCACGATGTGGAGCTGTGGACCGAGGACGACGAGTACGAGTTGGTCTTCGACAACGGCTCTGGGTCTTACAAGCCATATTGGCCGGCGCCGGAGTTTGAAGAGCTGATCCGCTGCAACCTCCCAGACGTGCCTGGCAAGTTCTCAATCCGTGTGATGCGTGGCTCCTTCGGTGCCAACCAAACAACGCTAGACGCGTATTGCGACATTTGGCACGGAGTGGACGAGATCCCAGAGGCAGAGGAGTGCAAACGTTCTCTGGGCTTCGTGGCCGTGCAGCCCGAGGTGCAAGGGGGAAGTGGAGAAGGGTCCTTTCTGCAGATGCCTGAAGTAAGAGTTTTCTGAAGTATTGCACCCCCATCTTGAGGTGCACAAGTGCTGCGGCACTTATGCTTCCGTGAAGGAGAAGGAGGATGAGGGGACCTGCACATGGCAGTGGCCAGCCAAGAAGGACGAAGATTGCGTGGAGGTTCCGGGCCACTGCTGCCAGGAGTCCGTCGTAAGCCAGCCCGGTGCCTGCCTCGCGGAGCCCGTCTGCCAGGCGCAAGTCATGGAAGCAGATGGTCAGATGGAGGCCAGGCCAGTTCGTGCTGTGCAAATCTAAACGCAATCGCAACAACACTAGCTAGGCATAGCTAGGCATAGCTAGGCCTAGCAGAACAGATTCCTGGCGCGCCCATGCGCGCCCCTTTGATCCTCTTTGCGCGATAGACCTCGCCAGTCATTAGAGTGCTGCACATGAAATGCTGTTTCTTGAAAGGCGTTCCTGGGCAAGGTGGATGCAGGAGTGAGAAAGTGGCTCGGAACTGAAGACTGGCAATCCTATCCCTGGTGTGCGCATTCTGTGTGAGATTTCCGCATGTGCATGCCTCCAGGTGGCTGGGCGGCCGGCATGACGAGTGTTTGGCGCGTCAGTGGCGCACGCGGATGTTCGAGTGCTTTGCGGCCCATCAAGTCGGCAGTCCGCAAAGCGAGCGCGCCTTGGTTTGGCTGCTGGAGTTGAAGACGTACTTCGAGAGCAATCCCTCCAACCAGGCTAGGTGGACCAGCTATCTGGACAACCTGCAAAAGCAGCTGGACATCAAGAAGCTCACGCTAGAGCATCTTCAGCACGGCCCAACCAACTTGGGTAAGGATGCGGTGGTTGCGCAGTGCGTGCTGCCGTTTCTCAACAACGCCTTCTCGTACGTTCCCTTGAGTCTAAAGCTCTCCAACTTCTTGAAGATGGGCGTCTATGATCCTGCGGAGGGCAAAATCCATGGTGCCAACCTCCAGAAGCTCAGGCTGCAATATCACCAGTACATCTTTGACGAGCTCGATTACAAGGCTCTGTTCACCACGGAATTCGGATATCATATGAGGTATTTGTGTAGTCAGTTTGATGCTTGTGGATGCCGCGGCAGGGTGAGAGCTACAAGACTGGCCACGACGGAGAGGAGGGCTGCGGGCGGCTCCCTCAGCTCACCGCACTTCGGACTCTGCATGAACGTAGCTCCCTTGAGGATCGCATGAGAAAGTTGAAGACACACACACACACACACCAGCTCTTTCCTTTGCTGATAGCATGTCCTCAGTGGTCCCGCTTGTTTTGGTCTTGCGGCTGGCCACAAAACTCACAAAGCATTTCGGAACCGGCATGTGGTGAAGGATGTGAGTAGCGGAGTCCGACACAGTACAGGAGATTGTAAATGAGATCAAATGAGAACGGAAACTTCGGGAACCAGAGGTAGCGTCATGTTACAAAGGCAGCGCCTGCTGCGTTGGTCCAGGGATGTTGTCAGCGGCCAGCACATTTTCTTGATGCTTCCCAAGCAGAATCACAAGCAGAAACCATCCGAAGCCAAATCTTTCCCTGTTCTTCCCCACTGCAAAATTACCCGGCCGTGATCCGCTTGTCGTGAGCACTTAGGTTTTCGCTGACAATTCCCAGGGCTGCTGACGAATGGGGCAACGCCATTGCTTCGCAGGCTGGGTGGTCGATCTTCTTGCCACGTTTCAAAGCATTTCTTGTGATGTTGTTTGCAGGAAAACGGAAGTCAAGCGGAGACCTTCGAGGTTGAACTCACTGCAGAGGAGCTGGCAGTCGTAGAGCTCACGGACACACTCGGCACCTTCGAGGCCAGGAAAATGGAAGAGGGGGGAAATGAGAGAAGGGAGAGAAGAGCTTAAGGAAGAACGGTCCCTTAGGTGCAGTGTGGGGCTGTGATCAGCGGCAGTGACCTTCCCTTTGGCAGTTCACTGGCCGGGTCGATGGTCTTGGCTGTCGACGGCACAGCCACTCAGGAGAAGAGCTTTTGGGAGACTGAGGTGATGATCACCTCGAGCCTCGAAAAAGGCAGTGTTCGCTTGAAGCTCATGCGCGGCATCAATCCGGGTTTCTGCCGAACGAGCGCTTGTCGAGACCGCACCCCCATCACGGGTTCGAAGGATTTCACCAGGTGTTGGATCAGCAAGGGCTTGCAGGTTTGCGGTGAGTACTGCTGTTGCCCAAGCGGTTATGAGTACCGATCCAGCTTCCTGCTTGCTCAGTGCAGCAGCTGCTGAGCAGCACTTCAGCTGTTGCACTCCAGATTCTAGATCTTCGCTTGTGCTCCCTGCGATTGCGAGAAAAAGCAAGACGTGTCTCCAGGCCAGCTTCCGCTGTGGAGCCTTTTACGTAGCCTTGACAGAAAGTGACGCAAGCTGACGGCGACTGCTGCCTTTTTCGGCTCGGTTCTTATGCACGGCCTTTCAGAATTCAGTTCTGGCCTCGGCCGAGCCCAATGTCCTGAATGCCCTGAGACTTCCTAACAAATTGATAGAAGCTGGACTGCAGGCACCGATTCCTCTGGAGATTTTGCGCGTGCCGGTCCCTCAGATTTAGTGGAAGCTGGAATGTCATGTCCTGTGGCTGCGGCTGTTCTGAAACCAAGGCTTGAATCTACCTGGTCTCCCATACTCTCACGAGCGATATCCGGAACCTCGTGAGAGGAGATCCCACTCGCTACTCACAAGTGTTGCCCTCGCCTTTCTGTAGATTTGGATCTGCCGGGCAGCATCATTGTTTACACGTGCTGTTCTTGCTCTCCTCAGCAGCTTGAGCTTGCGGCAAATGCGGTAGAAGGTAATGTGCGGGTATCTCCCCAATGCCAAGCCAGAGCCCAGTTTTGGTAGTCCACAACGCGAGTTGGCATGTTATCAGCGGGTAAACCAGTCCCACAGTTCAATGGCCATGAACGGCCCACATGGCTTTCTGCTGTGAGAAGACCCGGGTAATAACTCGCCTTCAAATACCTTTTAGGTTGCAGATATTGAAGCTCAAAACGAACCCTACCCCAAGAACCTTTCCTGGCTGATCAAGAAGTGAGTTGCACCGGGCTTCACACCCTGGCGCAGTTGGCTCCCTGCAAGGAGTTTGATCAGAGTCATTTTCCGTTTGCACGTGGGTCTTCCCAGGCACCTGGGAGCTCAGTGCATTCACATGCATTCACCATTATCTTGACAACTTGCAAGGTTTTCCGATGAAGCTCTTCAAGCCCAGCACCCCCGAGCAACAGCTCGCGTCGCTGAGGCCATCGGCGTGCCAATCTATTGAATCTAGACATTGCATGCGGGGGGTCCTGGAAGGTCTCAGAAGTGCGAAGTCGAATGCACGGCCGAGCACGTGCAGCCGAAGCCCG